GGCGGTGCGTTGCTTTGACGCTGAGGGCCAGCCGATTGAGATTGATGCGTGGCTTGTTGACCTCCGTCGCCATCTCACTGGTCAGCGGCAGGATGGCCACTCGCTGTCTGTCCATCTTGATGGTACCCTCCCCTGCCCTGACCCTCCCGCTGCACTGTCTCCTGACCCCTCGTCCGCTGAGCGTGAGTCCACTGCAGTCGCTGCCCTTGCTCCCTCTGTCTGGCTGTCCCGTGACGCTGTTGCACAGCTTGCTATTAGCAATGCCCTCCCCCTGTCCGAGCGACCTCGCTTCAGGTCTATCACCACTGCTCAGGCTTTCCTAGATGCTGTTGTCCAGCGCTATTCCACCCCACCTGCTACCTCGGTCGGTCGTCTGATCCTCCCCATGCTCTTTCCTGACCTTGCGTCGTTCCCCACTGTTGCCGACCTGGCCGCTCACCTGCGCACCATAGACGAGACTTGGCGTGCTGCCTGCACCCCCACACAGCTTCTAGCCCACCAGCCGCCCTTCACCTCTACTCTCTACCTGCTAGCCACCTGCCTCCCTGACCGTCTTGCCACTGCCCGTGACCGCTTTCTTAGCGTCCACCCCACAGACCTTACCCTCACTGACTTTGTTGACACCCTGTCCGCTATAGAGGACCGCCACCGCTCTATCGCTCAAACCAGCGGTACTGTGCTGGTCCCTATCTTTCAGGGTTGTGCCCCCGCTCAGTGCACCTTCTCCGACGAAACTGTTGCTGTGGCTGAGACTGCCGCTGCCGCATAGGTTCGTCCGGGGAAGGGTAGCCGCCCCAAGGCTGGACGTGGCGACGGGGGTGGGGGTGCGGGTGTAGGTGGTGCTAAAGTTGGGTCACCTAGTGGTGGTGCTGACGCGGGGACGCTGAAAGGTGCAGCCGAGCAGCCATCTCAGCAGTCGCCGGTGTTGCAGCCGGACCCGCGCCAGCCGCAGCAGCCGCAGCTGCCGCAGCTGTAGCCATTGCCGTAGCCGCAGCAGTCGTAGCAGCAGCAGAGGCTGACGAGTCGTCTTCCGCCTGGGTGGCCCGGCGCTGGTGGCAGCGCTGGACGTGGTGGTGGTGCGCGTGGTGGGCTGCCAAGTGACTACTCTTCGGGTGCTACTACACGTAGCAGCGCAGCGTGACTACGAGCTTCACTCCCTCGACTTCTCCACTGCGTTTCTTCAGGGCAGTCTACACGAGCAGGTCTACCTGCGTCGCCCTCAGGGCTTCACTGATACCTTCCCTCCTGGGACCCAGTGGCTCCTCCGGCGCCCCGTCTACGGCCTACGGCAAGCTCCCCGAGAGTGGCACGACACGCTGCGTGCTACGCTTGTTGACCTGCAGTTCTTTCCGTCCTCTGCAGACCCCTCGCTCTTCGTTCGTGCTGGCCAGACTCCGTTCTACATCCTTGTTTACGTAGACGACCTGGTCTTTGCCACGGCAGACAAGGACGCACTGGCCTCCGTGAAGGCAGAGCTGCTGAAGAGACACACCTGCACTGACCTTGGAGAACTATGCCACTACCTTGGCTTGCAGATCTCCAGGGACAGAGCAGCGCGCACCATCACTTTGACTCAGTCACACTTGGTGCGCCAGGTCTTTCAGAGGTTCCGCCTTCAGTTCTCCTCCGCACAGCCTACTCCTCTGCCTCTAGACCACAGGCTCTCTGCTCCAGTTCCTGAGGAGTCAGCAGAGCCCAGTGGTCCTTACGCAGAGCTGGTGGGTTGCCTCATGTACCTGATAACTTGCATGCGCCCAGATCTCGCATGCCCTCTCAGCATCCTAGCTCGCTTTGTGGCTACAGGCAGACACTGACCTCAGCACTGGTCTGCCGCTAAGAGGGTTTTGCGTTATCTTGCAAGTACATCGGGCATGGGGTTAGTGCTAGGAGGACGTAGGCCAGTGGTCCTTACTGGACACACAGACGCTTCTTGGGCAGACGACGCCGAGACCCTCAGGTCCTCACAGGGCTACTGCTTCAGCCTTGGTTCAGGTGCCGTCTCGTGGAGAGCTACCCGCTCCTCGCCTGTTGCCCAGTCCAGCTGTGAGGCCGAGATCTACGCCGGTGCCATGGCGGCATAGGAGCTCCGCTGGCTGACCTTCTTGCTCACTGACTTAGGTGAGCGGCCTAGCTCTGCCCCGGTCCTGTACGCTGACAACAGGGCCATGATCCTCCTGTGTCAGGAGCCTCGACTCGAGGGCAGAGCGAAGCACATTCAGCTGCGGTACTTCCTCCTGCATGAGCTGCAGCAGCGTCGCCAGGCGCGCGTAGTACACTTGGCCTCTGGTGCCAATACAGCTGATATCTTTACGAAGGCGCTTGCGCCTAAAGATCATCAGCGGCACTGTGTACAGCTGGGTTTCGTTCCTGTAGCCTCTCACTTGCTAGGGCCTTGACTCTGTATTGTCCTTTATATATATTTTTTACCCAGACTGGCCTTGTGGCCTCTCCCAGTGGCTGGACTAGTAGTGCCGCCCTGGGCTTGCTCTTGCCTTGTCTGTACTCCTTTTGACTGGTCTTTAGACCCTTGTCTCAGAGGCTGGACTAGTAGTGCCGCCCTGAGCTGCTTCTTCCCTTGTTAGGCAGTGCCCCTATATAGTCTAGGGGGTGTGTCAAATGTAACTTAGGTCGTTACTGTAGACTGTACTGGATTGTGCCTTAGAGGGTACAACACCCTAGTCTATATATCCTTGTACACACACATTCTAGTTAAATCAATTTTCTTCCTGATAGGGGGGGACCCTGAGCAATCAGGGTACCTTAAAACCAATCTGAGGCCCTGAACACCAGGGTGCTATAGCCTAAACGCGAAATAGGGCACCCACCCTCCTGATTTTGCATGAATTTTGTACTACACTCGGGGTGTTATATTCGGGGGATTACGGTAACAGGTAGTGTAATAAAGGAGTCGTGATTCAAGAGCGTCGATACAAATGAGGGTCTAGGCATTTCTAGGCACAAACAGAGCTAGCCGAGAACCACGCGAACAGGTGGGGGCGGTCCGGTTGGTGAAGGCTACGGAAGCGCCACGCGTCTAGGTTTGGGTTCGCTAAGTGGTTCGGGACCGAAGAAGTTGGCCGGGCCTGGACTTCCGAGAGTCGAGGGCGTGCGCGCTGTAGTCGAGCCCAGTAAGGAAAAGTGAATTTCCTTACAATGGTAACCTAACTGTAACAGCATTTATTCTTTGCTTGGAATTTGTTAGATATACATACATATGTATATATATGTATATATATATCCCATATTCAAGCACTATGACTGTATGGACCAGGGCTTATTTTATCATAGTAAATCACTCTGATTCTCTGAAAATCAGAGTCGTTTTGAAAACCACTCTGATGGTCCTGGGTAAAATTTTGAAAGTATAAGTTTTCTCTGATTTATCAGAGTTGGCCTATGTACCACCCTGAAGAGTTTTCAATGGGGGGGATGCTCCTAGATTTTTCCCTGTTCTCTCGGTATTCGGCTAAGTCCTCCGACTTCCAGTCACACCCCTCCCATACCCCACGTACCGTGGATAATTTTGACTAAGTCCTTCGCAACTGGTGGTCACATACCGCCTCATACCCGCCGTAACCTGGAAAATTCCAGCTTAGTCCTCTGTAACCAATCACAACACACTTATACCCCACGCAACCCAGGCACATTCCTCCTTCCCACACCCAACCCAACCTAGCCCAGCTGTGTTCAGTGCTATTTGACTAGCCCTTACCGTCAATCATGCTACATTCTACGTGTGTAACTTGGCACGGGGTTGACACATAAACATTGCAGCAAAGGCGATTGGTACAGCACATGCACCAGCCAATCACTGGCGTATTGTTTCTGTACTTCACTCACAGGCAGTCAGGATTGGCTGTTGTTATTCCCATGCGAAATGCCTGCCAGCGCGAGATGCAGTGCTGACTGAGGACGCGTTTTGTACCTGAGGCGAGCCCCAAGGGAAGAATTCGGGGCATCAAATATAGGTACGGCGAGATCCCCTAAGCCATCACTTTGGGTCATCTGGCCCGTCAAACTGAAGCCCCGAAGTCCTGCCTAGGGACTCCCCGAGTACGCAACGTGCCCAATCGAAGTATTTCGGAGCAGAGCCTGGATGATTTTTTTGGCAGAACCCGGCCGAGACATCCCAGTTTCCAGCCGACTGTACTGGGCAGATTTCGGCCCGAATCTCTATAAAGCTACACTTTTCAGCGTTCATTCAGCACAAGTCTTGGGCACGGAATTGTAGGGGTTGGGTACATGGCACGCGCCTAGAAAAAAAGTATGGTGCGATTTGGCAGTCTTCTGGGATAAAGCACCACCACGTTGCGAAATAGTCGTGGGGAGTGAATCCTGGGCATCAGAGTTTTTATTTGAAAAGTGTGAAAAAACCCTGACAAATCAGAGTTCGAGCTCCAGGGCACTCTGAAAATCAGAGTTTGGCCAGGAGTCACTCGTGAAAATCAGAGTGGTGAAAAACCAAAGATAAGCCCTGGTATGGACTCTCCTGCTCTATAAAAATTGCAGTGCAATAAATCTTGACACCATCAGCGGCGTACCGGCAAAGGAGGGATTCATAAACATTATGCATCTTTCGTCGTTACCGGGCCAAAGTCCGCCAAGTTCATCCATCCTTGCCTATCAAGGTAGGCCCATGCCACCTCATCTCAACCTATCCCATAGTAACCCTACCACACAATTGTTGGAAATACCTCAAGGACTTAAGCGTTTCTGAAGTGTAACACCACACTCGAGGAAGGTCGTAACGGGTACGCGAGACAACGGAGGTTACACGAGGGGATGGACAAACAACACGAAAGGACTCGAAGGGTCGCAACTAGAGGTTGCAACTGACAATTACAGCTGCAAAGATGGTAACCGAAGCGACAATCGAGTTGCTGTGCGACTCGATAACCGCTCTTTCAACTGTATTCTACAACTGCTTTACTTTCCTACTTTCTATATATTGCTGTATGCTTGTTCTTCTAATCAATCACTTGTTCTCATATACTAGTACAAGGGTTCAACCATCTCAACTTCCGCTGCACTACTCAAATCTTTTACAACTGGGACTTAGTCTCTGGAAAGATCCTAAGGGCATTTATCAGCCCTACATGGTATGAGAGCTGGTCAGAGACCAAACTCCCAGCAACTACGTTCTATCTACAATCAGCACACCAACGACTTCATTGATTACAAGTCATGGACAGCAAGGGCAAGAAAACCTCTACGGGCTCACCCAGTGCCCAAGATACTCAACCCGGCAACTCTGGACTGCACACTTCAGGACTGCAAACCGAGACCGGCGCTGCTCAAGAAACAACAGGAAGAGCACCAGAAATGGTGACCCCATCACCCTCTTCAAGCGTTGACCCGAACCTTATGGAAAGATTCTTCAGCTTCATGTCACACTTCGACCAGCAGCAGCAGACAAGGACACCTGCGCATTCAACACAAAGCAACGGAGGAAACATGGGATTAGCGCCAATGAGTCTCGACAACTCGTCGTTCAGGCGACTCAATCAAGCGCCTCCCTTTGCGCCTTATCACTCTTCACCGGGGACGTTCGAGTTCATGCCGCCCCGTGCCCAACCAACAGCAGCTGCATCACAACAGACACCAAACGAGATTTTAAGTCTCCAGGCGCAGTTTTCACACGTGATTAAACTGCATACATCCTCACCATTCAACGAACACGGTTTCTTTACCTGGAGTTTTGAGTTCGAGCTGCTGATAGAGGCTGCGCATCTCTTGGGATACTTCAACGGGTCCCTGCCATTCCCAAGCAACGGCACTGCAAAAGAACAAGAAATCTTCACGTATCAGTCGCTGCTGGCGTACACAGTTCTCCTACGGAACCTATCACCACAAGAACAGCAAAGCATCAGAACGTATAGGAGCTACGGAAACTCCGCGGAACTCGCATGGCATCACCTCAAGTGCCTCTATCAAGCAAATGACAGCGCGACACAAAGCAGACTCATGCAGCAGCTGACAACAATACAAATGAAGACCGGGGAAAAAGCGATGCAGTATATGAGTCGATGCCAGACACTCCGCGACCGCCTGCTTCGGTGCGGAGGAACAATCACTGAAGAAAGCTTCGTAACGCTTGTCCTCGCTGGGCTCGAGCCAGAATGGCGAACCATCCGCTCGCTCCTTCGCGCCCACGGCCGAATCTCGGAGATGCACCTCTGCGCCGAGCTCCATGCTGAACAATAGGAGATGGACCTGTTTGAAGAAAGACAACCAAGGAAACAACAACCATTAGTCTTCTACACTCAACGAAGACACGACAACAACCACAACCGACGTGGCAGGCAAGATCAACGCGACAACCGAGGACTCACCATTGTACCGCCATTCTGCCACAAATGCCAAACATCCGGACACTCCAAAGTCAACTGCACACGTCCCCGAGCTTATCGTCTAGTAGACCCACAAGTCGCTTCCACTCAAGTAAGTCCGCCGAGGCACCCTTCCACATCTGCACAAAATACACCGAATATCATCAACTGCATGGTACACATCGACTACTGCGCACCCGGATCACCGCCAACTTACGCTCCCGATGAAAAGAACTATCGCTGTCACAGGATCGAATGTCCCGAGGAAAGGTTTGCTCAATGTTGCCCTATCATTCAGTACAAGGTGCTTTTATACTTCCAGAGTACATCAGGTAACCAGGTTTATCCTATACAAAGGAAATAGACCCTTCTAGAAATAGAATCACCCTGCGTATAGCCACGCGAGGCTATTGGCTTTAAGGGATTACGGCAGGATTACGCTAGATATAGCGCGCCAGTACATCCCGAGCCTAGTCGGTGATATAATTATAATAACAGGATAAACCAAAGGATAATGGAAAAGGAGGAATAGGAAACCGAATGAGATGGGGTAAAGACCAAATGAATCAGGATAAAAAGAGGAATGAAATATATGGAAATATGGAAAGGGGAAATTGGTGTAACGGGGTCGTACTCTCACACTTCCCCCCCTCAATGCTGGGTGGTAGACGTAACACCCTGCTTGACAAGGTAGTCGCGAAGAGGACGACGGGCGTTACCCATGTCGGATTCAGAGACGCAGCCTCAGAAGTATCATAACCCTTCCAGCAAAGAAAAAGCTCCAGAGTGCCATTCTGATGACGACGGACGGCGGCAGTGGCTGGCGCTCGGTGTAGAGCGTGTGTGGTCTTGATAGGGTTTAAGAAGCTGATATGGAAGGTTTATGGATCTTCCAAGTGGCTGGTAGGCGGAAGCGGAAGGTGAATGAAGTGACCTGTGCTTCAAAGAGGATAGTCCCGCAGAAGCAAGGTTGAAGCTTGGATGGAAGTTGGCTGATGTCGAGATTATGGTCTCGAGAAGGGTAGTGATGAGTTGCCAAGTGCTTGTGCTGATGTTGGATGTCTAAGAGGGCGCTTGTGTGGTCGATGTACAAGATGGTGGACGATGGCGATGAAATCGGAAGCCAGTTGGACTGTAGCAAGAACTGTCTGTTGCTACGGAGTGAGCAGGCTCCGTCCATAGCAAGGAAGGATGGTGTGTATCGCCCGTCAGTGATATATGGGCAGGTGCAAGTTGTAGTTGGAGACATGAGTGGTTGGAACAGTGTGCTGTAACGTACAGACGAATGGCTACGTTGTCTGTTCTGTGCATGCCTGAAGATCACTTGCATCTCGTCCACGCCTGAAGATCACCAAGTGGTGGTGGTATGGCAGTCGTGTCGTAGTACTGCTTTTGTAGTAGTGTTGTATCCGACACATGCAGCTTCTGTCGAATGCTGGTCCATGCCGTATTGTTGTCGCGAGTCGTACCCACTCGGCATCGTAGTGCTGCGGAATGGAGAGCAGAATCACTAGTAGTAACCCTGTGCACCACGCGACCTGCTAGTCACACTGCTTTGAGCACAACAGCGCATGCGAAGTGCTGCTCAACGTATCCCTTGTGTTCAGAACCATGCGAGGGGTTGGTACCACAAACGCGGAGCTGGTAACTTCCAGAATCGGCGGCAAGTAGTTTCCCTCGGTGGTTTCTCAAGCAAGGAATCTCAGCTGCGTAGATATCCCACGCTGATGGGTTAGGATACTTGGGAATATTAGGGGTATTCCCAAATAATCCTCTCCCATTTCCAGATGAGCATTGCTGACAGCCAATCCAGTATGACCTTATGCACTTCCAGTTTAGCACGGAGGCCATCGGTAGGCATCGGTGTCTGGGCGCACATATTGGGATAGGTCTTCTGGTGCCATCATGTGTTGTCTCATTCTGTTGCTGTCCTTGAAGTAGCGATGATGTAGAAGATGTCTCAGCTACCCAGCATCAGTGTTGAAGTCTGCTCCATTTCGGCAAACAGGGGTGTTGTTGGAGATACGCGGAGTCCACTATCCGGAGTGGCGTCGGCGCTCCATTCCACGCCTATCTGCTTCCGTGGAGTTGGTGCTGGTGATGGATTGGTTGCGACGCAGGTTTTATGACTTTAAGGAAAAGCCATAGGCCATGAGGACTTGTATACCGGTAGAGTACCGTGGTCCTCCCATCCCCATAAGAGCAAATATCTTCTGCTCTTGAGGGTATATGGCATTGCCATGTTGTTTCCTCGCATAGTGGTATCTCCTTCCCACTAGCTGGAAATCATAGTACTGTGCCTGGCCGGGACTTTACGATCCACTGGAATATAATCCAGCATTATCTCCATTGAGCGGAGAATCATCCATCAGGATTTGGTTGTGACTGTTGTGTCGAGTCTTCTGCTGCGGCGGCGGCGGCGGTAGCGACGACGGCGACGGCGGCAGCTGCTGCAGAGAATTCTCTTAACTCGTACCGGTTGAAGGAGAATCCATCAACTCCCCCTTCCCAGTAGAGTGTACCTGATGGGTGTAACAGGCGTAACTACCAGGAAAACGTGCATTTTGGTACACATGTGTTGCTCCATTGCTGCCGGTGATTGTTTCATTTGAGGGTGTGAAGAGAAATTTGCTTCTCCCCTCAATGTATCCACGGGTAGCAATTCCTGGTATGCTCATCCGTGCCTCCGATGTACGGTCGGTAGAGCGCGTGATCATGTTGTAGTAGTCCGCATTTCCCTCATTTGTTGACACCTCGTGTTGCCTGACGTTCTCCTGCATCGTCGAAGTTACGCAGATGCTTGTAACGCTTCGGCTTTTGGTAGAATCGCCTCCAATGCATGTGCCGTAGGGTCGCTAGTGAACGAGTACTTGCCGGATTAGAGGTTAATTACTCCTCAATCTGTCAAGCATCGTGACGTGCACGGAATTTTCTTCCACGCAGGTCATTAACACCTGGAATCGCGACGCATGATTGGTGTGTCGCCTCGTGAGGTCGATGTTGAGACTGCTCCAATCAATCACTTCGGATGGCTGAGATTCTAGATGAAGATGAATCGTTCAGCTCCTGTTACGAAGTAGTGTCTCGCTGGCCTTGACGAGACGGGTTCACTGCGTCGTCGTTGCGTGCGAAATCTGCTCCTTCGCAGCAACTTGAACTTGGGAGCATTGCAAGAGAAAACGGCTACTTCTCTGCAATCCCATAGGTTGTCGATCAATTTGTATGAAGAAGTGTCTTGTGGATGGAGAACATGTCTTGACGCAGCTCCATTGTTTTTCCTGGGTGAAAATCCCGTCATGTTGATGTCGATCCATTTTTAACGAAGATGACTTCGTCAAAATAAATCGATCGTTATCGACACTAGTTAGAAGATGCGTCGATTGTGCAATCGCTGGTCACGAATTTTGTTTCCATGATGATGTTTTCCCATAGTGTAGTCTCTGCTGCATTCGTGCCGTTGATTCCGCAACGATCCGACGATCCACGTTCTCGTGTCAATTTTCTGCTTGCAGCTATTACCAAGTAGGTAATACTCTAGCAGATTTCTGACTCTGCAGATGATTTGCGCGCCAAATTCGTAACCAAATGGAGGAATCCGAATTTGGTTGTCCTGATGTTGTCAACGATGTTGAAGGCGGTTGATTTCTGGTGCTGCGCGTCATTCTCCCTTCGTGCAGAAGTCGCGCTCCATCTCGTCCGTTGAAGTAGAAGTCGATCCGACGGTCCAAACTCCAAGCGATCTGTGGAGACTCCAGAGTAGCGTTCAGCAGCTTTCGGTGCACGGGTTGACTCGTTTCCTCCAGCAATTCTCGGTCGTCGATGTCGGTTGTCGAACGATCCAACGCTCCGAAGAATTTCGCGGCTTGCAAGGTCCCGTTCCCATTCGCGCTGAAACTCGAACTCGCTCAGAAGGATTTCGTTTTCGCCTCGGTCGATCCGAAGCGTCGAATCTCCATCGGACGGATGTCGTCGGTCGAACCTCCGCAGGGTTCCACGCAACTCCAAGTGTTGTCGCGAACTGCGAACTTCTCCGAATGTCGCAGGGAGTGTTCCGCCGGAACTGACGCGCTCGCCAGGTCGAGGCCGTTTGCCCTCGCGAAAAATCGGCACCGTCGATGCAGTCCATCGAACGGTCGGCGAGGCATCTCGCCTTCGAAGGGGACCCCAGGTGCAACTGCGAGAGGTGAGTCGAACTTAAATGAAAGTTCAGAAGCTCGGCTGCCTACTATTCGCAGCAGTAACCTGCCGACCTGACCTATCCTACAGTGCAAGCCAGCTGGCGACGCATCTGAAGCAGCCGGAACAAGAAGATCTCGAAGAACTAAACCGGGCACTACTCTACTTCGTTTCTACGCCGACGACCGGACTTACCTACAGCAAAGTAACAACACCATCTGTACAACTACTCGGATACGTCGACGCCGACCACGCGGGGGACAGAGAAAATCGACGATCGAGAACGGGCTACATCTACCGACTAGAACCTATCGGGACCATCTCCTGGCAGTCGAGCAAACAGGAACTAATCGCACTGTCTTCGGCTGAAGCAGAATATATCGCCCTCTGTACTGCAACCAAGGAAGGACTCTACCTGCGAGAGTTACTTGAGGAAGCAAAGATTGCGACCCTGCCCATCTTCTCACTCCTCTGCGACAACCAATCTGCGATCAAAATCGCGAACAAGGACGGCTTCGCCAACCGAACCAAGCACATCGCCCTGCGATACTTCTTCGTCAAGGATGAAATCGCGAAGGGGAGACTTCAACTCAGTTACTGCCCTACGACAGAAATGGCCGCAGACTACCTGACGAAGAAACTGGCGAAGGCTAAGTTCGATTACTGCATGCTGCTGACTGGGCAGACAAACGTCACCGGATCTGAACACGTCAACACTCCAGAAACGAAGGGGAGTGTTGGAAATACCTCAAGGACTTAAGCGTTTCTGAAGTGTAACACCACACTCGAGGAAGGTCGTAACGGGTACGCGAGTCAACGGAGGTTACACGAGGGGATGGACAAACAACACGAAAGGACTCGAAGGGTCGCAACTGGAGGTTGCAACTGACAGTTACAGCTGCAAAGATGGTGACCGAAGCGACAATCGAGTTGCTGTGCGACTCGATAACCGCTCTTTCAACTGTATTCTACAACTGCTTTACTTTCCTACTTTCTATATATTGCTGTATGCTTGTTCTTCTAATCAATCACTTGTTCTCATATACCAGTACAAGGGTTCAACCATCTCAACTTCCGCTGCACTACTCAAATCTTTTACAACTGGGACTTAGTCTCTGGAAAGATCCTAAGGGCATTTATCAGCCCTACAACAATAAACAGTATGGCACTTCTGGGAAGAAACTCCAACCCACGGGGAAGAAACTGACGTGTAACCCAACTTACCACCCCCCTCAGCCCCCCCCCCCTCCCCGAATTTCCACCAGTAAATAAGTTCCTTTTGGCATGGCTGCTCTATTCTGTTGTTCATGTTGCTGGTAGTCTCTTCCCACGCCCCATGGTAAACCCCTTGGTCCCATCAGGCATGCGAGGCCCCGGTGGGGGTCGCATCAACAGAGACGACGTTTCCAGCAAAGCGCCGCTACCGCACCCAAGAATACCCCCTCCTCCGCCTCCCACTCCACCCCCGCCCCCCAGGGGACTCCCATGCAGCAGAAACGAAGCAGAGGGTAGGCTACCGCCCTTAGGTGGAGTGCCTCCCCCGTGCAGGTGGTGATGGTGGTGGTGCTGCGAGTGCTGGTGTGGGTGCAGGTGGCTATGATGGTGACTGCCGCTGCCGCTGCTGCCGATGCGGGAGCGAGGCGGGGTGTTGTTCGGCGAGTGGTGGTGCTGGTGCTGGTGATGGCTGTTGTTGTGGTGGTTGTGCCCGCTGCCGAAGCTGCTGCCACTGCCGTCCCTGCCTGGAGTGCGAGAGAGAGACGAGCCCTGGTTGTGAGAGGACCCGGACCCTGACAGCTTGCTTGCGGATCCAGCCCCCTTGTTCCGCCCCTTGATGGCGCGGCCCTTGCGCGGACTGCTGCTGCTTGCCTCACCGTCAGGCTGAAATGGGGAGGAGAGAGAGGGGAGGAGAGAGGGGAGGAGAGAGAGGGGAGGAGAGAGGGGAGGAGAGAGAGGGGAGGAGAGAGAGGGGAGGAGAGAGAGGGGAGAGAGGGGAGGAGAGAGAGAGGAGAGAGAGGGGGGGAGAGAGAGGGGAGAGAGAGGGGAGGAGGGTGTGCATGAGCGAGGGGGGGACAAGTGATGTAGGCGAAACGGTTGGAAAGGGGGAGAAAGGAAAGCAGGAGGGGGAGAGGCAGAGATGGATGGGCGGATGGATGGAGGGAGGGAGGGAGGCAAGAGAGGGAAAGGGAGAAGTGGCGGGGGGGAAAGGGAGAGGAAGGAGGGAGGGAGCGAAGAAGGGAGGGGAAGGAGGTGAGAACATACCATAGAGAGAAAACCATCGCCAGGGGGTGAGAGGGCAGGCATGTTACTGCCCCGTCTGCTGCCGCCGCCACCAGCATGGCCCGCGGCATTCGCAGCAGCACTAGCAGCAGTGGGCGAGGCCTCGTGGTTGCTCCCCGCGTCCCCATCAGCATCGCCATCATCCAGAGCCAGCAGCCCTTCACTAGCAGCAACCCCATCAAGCAGATTCTCCTCTGTTGCAGAATCCGCCCCCCCTCCTCCTCCCCCTCCTCCCCCCCCTCTTGCTGCTGCTGCTCCTCCCCCTGCCCCTCCTGTGCCTGCTGCAGCAGAGAGGCTGCCGCTGCTGCTGTGGTTGCTGTGGAGGCTGCTTTGACTGCCCTTCTTGCCCTTGCCTGCATGTGCCAGCTGGCCCTGATGCTGCTGATGCGCATGCGGGTGCTGGTGCGGGTGCTGATGGTGATGCTGGTGCTGCTTCTGTGGAATGAGATGGGGATTGGGAGAGGGAGGGAACAAAAGAGTGAATGGCAGCGCCCTGTGCATGTAAAACAATGCACACAAGTCATGGGAGAGGAGGGAAGAAATAAGGCGTGGGAGAGGAGGGGGCGTGGGGCGGGCAAGAGAATGCATGAGGAACAACGGGACGAGAAGGGAGTGGCATGGCATGGCATGTTATGGCATAGTATGGCATGGAATAGCATGGCATGGTATGGCATGGCATGGCATGGCATGGCATGGCATGGCATGCATGGCATGGCATGGCATGGCATGCATGGCAGGCATGGCAGGCATGGCATGCATGGCATGGCATGGTATGACATGGAAAAGCGCGGCAAGGGGAGCAGGGAAACCGCCGCATGAGCGCGTCTTACTTACATTTGCGGGTTTGCGGATGAGCAGCCTGACGTGCAGGCCGCTGCGCCAGTTGTTCTCGTCCGTCAGCAGCTCCACAGCCCTCTCCGCCTCCTCCACACTCTCGTACTCCACCAACGCGTGCAGCTGACGGCAGGATACACAAGACATGTATGGGATGCGAGGGATGCGAGGGATACAATCAGACGCAGACAGATGCAGGGGGACACGGCGCATCCTCCACACTCTCGTACTCCACCAACACGTGCAGCTGACCGCAGGATACGACATGGCGGCGCGCTTTTGGGACAGTCAGATACACTTAGCTACACCAAACAGCACTTAGACACTCAGATGTGGGATACGCCATTTAGAGCCAGGGGGGCACGGTGTCCCCCTCCCTCACTCTCAAACTCCGCCAATGCGTGCAGCTGACAATGATACGGGGCTGCATCGGGTAGGGCAGAATGCAGTGGGGTTATGGTGGAATGCAGTCAGCCGCAAAGGGTCACGGTAGAGAATCACCACACATTCCCCCCCCCACAGGGCCACGGCTCCTGCAGCCAGCCATTCGGGCGTCCGTTCTCCCAGCGTGCAAGCCAGCCAACACTACACACAGCCAGCCACACAAAATGGTTGGAAGGAAGCTAAGAATCCTGGGCTTGGAACCCGCCACCCGCTCACCCGCTCACCCCCCCACCCACTCACCCGTTCACCCGCTCACCCGCCCCACCTACCCCCCCTTACCTTGTTATTGACCACGATTTCATGGTGGTGTGGGTGCTGCTTGGTGTACTAACCAACAGACGACTTGATGGAAATAAGGCCTCGGCAGCCCACCTGTAATCCATCTACAACTCCCACCCTCCCTCCCACCCACCCACCGACCCCCCCCTACCTTGTTAGTGACCACGATTTCATGGTGGTGTGGGTGCTGCTTGTGTCCATGCCTCCCGCTGTTCCCCCCTCCCCCTCCCGCTCCCCCGCCCGCTGCTGCTGCCACCACTGCCATGGCGGCCTGGTTGGCGCTGTTGGCTGCTTCCGGCTTGCACACCCGCACCATCTTCACTCTGTGAAAAGACCAATCGAGCGGAGTGGGGGGGGAGGGGGGGGGGGAGCAGCTTGTTTGGTAATGGCTGCTGCTTCCGGCTTGCAAACCTGCACCATCTTCACTCTGCCAGTCCATGAACAGGTGAGAAGGAGAAAGGGCAGGGATACGATGAGTATGCGCAAGGGGGCGAGTGGTGGGCTCATTGGCGCTGCTTGCTGCTTCCGGCTTGCACACCCGCACCATCTTCACTCTGTGGAAAAAGAACCAGGCCGGTGGGTGAGTAAGTACGCGAGACAATGAACAAGGGGGTGGAGGGGGGAAGCAAAAACCCTAAAAGAAGACGACACTAAATCCCTACTTAAGCCCAGCATCCCTGCCATTCCTCCCGCTCTAACCCACACTCACTTGCCCGCCTTAGCGAATAGCGCTTCCATGGCGGGGATAGAGTGGTCCTCTGGCAGGTTCTCCGCCACCACTGTGCGACCCTGCCGCGCACGCATGGGGGGAGGGACGGGGGGAACCGAAAAGGGGGAAAGGGTGATGGCGAAGGGGGATGCGGTTGAGGTGTATGGGTCTGTGGCGTGCACGTGCATGTCTGTGGCAGGGATAGAGTGGTCCTCTCATATCCTCTGGCAGACACTCCGCCACCGCTGTGCGACCCTGACGCACAGGGATGAAGCGGGGAGAGAGAGGGGGGAAGAGGGTGGGGAGGTGGAGGGGGGCTTCCAAAAGGGGAAAGGGTGAGAGCGAAGGGGGGCGCGTGGGTTGGTATGCGTTTGTGGGGTGTTCAGACAAGGGCACAATCCCCACTATTTCCCCTCCCCCCTTCCCCCTTGCTTCCCCTGCTTCCCCTCCCTCCCCACCCCTCTGTGCCCCCGCTCACATGCGCCTCCACTACGGCCACCTCCCCCAGAGGACTGCTGCAGAGCAGACAAGCCCCACGCCACGAGTTGACATGGTTCTTTCAAACTCTCAAAAACCATCCCCACCCACAGAGGCCTTGAGACACAGAGAACTCTCCCAGCTCTTCACACATGCCCCTCTTCCCCTTTCTTCCTCGCATCCCCTCCCTCCCTCCCTCCCTCCAGTGTGCCCCCGCACGCTCACCTGTACCTCCTCCAGGTCCACCTCCCCCAGGGCCACCGCCCTGCGCACCTTCTTGCCCTCCTCGTTTACCACCTGCGCGCACAGCACAGCACAACACACGGTTGCCACACGCACGCGACGGGGGGAGATGACGGGTGAGAGGATGAGGGGAAAGGAAGGGGGTTATAGAGGAAGGCTTTAAAGAAATGGTAAAGAGAACGGGAGCGGGTGGTATAGGGGGGGAGGTGGGAGGCGCATGCAACCAAACAGAAAAAAAAAAAAAAAAAAAAAAAAAAAAAAAAAGGACAGGGGGGGAGGGATGGCAGAAAGCAGGCAAGCATGACTGGCATCGGCAGGGAGCAGGAAAGGCGAGGCTGTGAGGGCAGTGCGAGCAGAAAGCAATAGCAGCCAGGGAGGGCAGGGAAGGGAGGAGCAGAAAGGGAGGTCGCAGGGAGGAAGAAGCGCGGACCAGGAAGGGCGAGGCTCTGAGCGCCGCGGCGAGCAGGTTGACGACAGCCGCGTTGGGCGAGCCCTGGGGCACCAGCGCGCGGATCTTGCGGAACTCCGCTATGATCTTCAGGGGCACTGGGGGGAGGGGGGAGGGGGGCGGAGGGCGGGGGGGCGGGGAGAGAAAAAAGAGGACAGGCGGGGCATAAGGGGGTGTGGGGAGCGACGTCTCGGGACGTGGGAAGGGGGCGTGAGGGAGAGGACAGGGAGATGGGCAGAAGTGAGAAGTGTTAGTGAAGGATGCTTTGGAGCGTGAAGTGGGGCGACGGAAATGGGCGAGGTTGTGGTCCAGGAATCGGACCACACAGGCACGCACGGGTAGACAGACCAGATGGACCAAACAACACACGACTTTTGAGCCCATATCTGGCCTGGGAAACGGATCACACAGGCGCTGGTAACGCGGGTAACGCCGGTACACAGTCGTGCAGCGTACTGAGGACGAAGCGACAGCAGGAACAGTGGCCGCTGGCAGCTAGCCAGGCAGCATCAACTCTGGCGAGAAGAGATGGGGAGCAAGAGGAAACGAGCAACAGCAGCGGCGGCAGCAGCAGCAGCAGCAGCAGCAAGGGAGTGGCTTACCATGTATCCCTCAGCGCAGAGAGCCTCACCGTATCCCTCGGCGTCCTTGCGCACGAGCTTCATCAGATGGTTGTCCGTGGGCAGGTTCTGGTCGCTCAGGTAGAACTCCACCTGGCGACGGCGCACAGTGCCGTGCAGCGGAGCACGTTGTTATGGGGCACATGGAGTGAGAGGCGTACAGAGTTAGAGGCGTACAGAGTGAGAGGCGTACAGAGTGAGTGCCAACCAACATAGAACCACCACGGGGGGGAAAGGGGGGGGTGGGTTTCAGAGAGGCGCACGATGAGATACGGCGCACGATGAGATACGGCGCACGATGAGATACGGCGCACAATGAGATACGGCGCACGATGAGATACGGCGCACGATGAGATACGGCGCACAATGAGATACGGCGGTAGCAGAGGACAGGCATCAACCAGTGGGGAGAAAGTGGAGCGCAGGAGGGGGCAGGATGAGGTGGGTTATTTGTACGAGTCCGCCCACCTCCCCCCACTCCGCCCTCTCCCCCGCGTCCGCTCCCACCCGCGGTGCCATACCACGCATGTTCCGGGGCGTTAGACAATTTCTACGGCACACGGCACACGGCACACGGCACACGGCACACAACACGCGGGAGACGTCACACGGCGAGCTCACCTGTCGCACCACCTTCCCCTTGACCTCCTCCAGCTCCTTGCCCGCACATGTTTTCCGGTCTCAAGAGTCAGGAGACACCTGCCGCAACTGCATCAAGACTCACCTGTCGCACCATCTTCTCTTTCACTTCCTCCAGCTCCTTGCCCGCTAGCTGCACGCTCGCCTCCTTCCCCTGCTTCCCCTTCGCCTTCCCATGCCCCGCGGCCGCTCCCTGCTGTGCCCCCTTCCCTTGCGCGTGCCCCGGCCCATGCCCTTGCGCGTGCGCATGCCCAGGCTGTGGGTGCTTATGTTGCTGCTGCTGCTGCTGCTGCTGCTGCTGCTGGTGTGGGTGGTGGTGGTGGTGATGGTGGTGGTGGCCCTCGACTTTCACCCAGTCCTTATCATCCTCCTCTGCCTGCGTTTCCGGTTGACTCCTCCCCTCTTCTCCCTTCTCACCCTCTCTCTCTCCCCCATCACTCTTCTCTCCCCTCTCACTCCCACTCTCACTCTCCTTCTCTGCCGTCTCTTGCTCTGTCGAAGACTGAGCCTCGCACATCACATTCTCACTCCTCTCCTCACTCACGCTCGCACCCTCAACCCCCACTTCCGCTTCCGCCGCCGCCCCCGCCTCCCCTGCTTCCGCCGCGACGTTGCCCGCAACCGCGGCACTCTCGACATTCCCCGCCCCTTCCGCCGCGCCACCAGCAGCGTGCGCGACGCCGTTCGTCGCAGCCGCAGCCTCCTCGTGCGCAAGCTCGTTCCCCACCGCCTCCGCGGGCTCCACGGCTTGCAGCGGCATCTGCGCCGGCATTTCCGCCGGAATTTCCGCCGCCATCTGCGGCGCCGGCATCTGCGGCATCATCTGCGGCGACCCGCTTTGCATAACCACGAAGCCCTCGCGCTCCGCCACCGCCGCCATCATTCCCGCCGGCGCCATCCCCATGGGAATATTCATCCCCATCCCCCCCCCATGATGCGCACCCCCCATCATCCCGCCCATGTGCGCGTGTGCGTGCGGGTGCGGATGCCCCCCGTGCGCGTGCGCGTGTCCATGCGCGTGGCCCCCGTGTCCTCGCGCTTGCCTGCGCGGACCCGCGGCGATCGGCATGAGCGGACTTGCCTCCACCGGGGACCCGCTGTGGAAGTATCCGCCCCCGCCACCGTCCCCCCCTGGGTGCGCGTACATGCCCTGTGCGCCCATCCCCGGCGGGCCGTACCCCATAGGCGGGGGGAGTCCTTGCCCCATGTGCGCGCCATTGTAAGGCGGCATAGAAGGCCCCATAGTCGGCGACATCGATTGCGGCATAGACAGCATCGCCGGGTGCGGCGGCTGCGCCGGCTGCGGAGGCACCGGGCTTCCCCGCGACGGCCCCCCTGTGGGGCCGAGCATGGGGCTCGCGACACGTGGCACGAAAACCGCAGCTCCCGCATTGAGAATGCGGCCCGCTGGCGGGGACAATGACGTGGCGGGAAAGCCGTCGGGCTCGACTGTGATGGTGGCGGGGGCGGCGGGGATGCTCATGGGGAGAGATGCCCCCGGTGCCGCTCCGTTTAGGGAGAGATTTGACGGATCTGTAGGATCATGAGAGGGGACCGAGAATGACGAAACGAAGGGGACATATTAAGAGACAAGCATGTCGGCGCGTGGCGACAGGAGAACGCGTGAGGGGAGTGGCGATCAGGAGAAAGACTGAAGTTCAGGCGAAGCGGGAGCGAGGCTTAGAGAAAAAAATGCAGACAAAGGCTTAGCAGATGGATCGACAGGAGCAGACGAAGATGGGAAGCAACGACGACGGCTGCGCTGGCGGAAGAGCGACGGCTTTCTAGCCATGGTCTTAAGGATGGCGGCTTACCATGGCTGTCTTGTCCCCCATGGAGCGGTGACGAGAAGGACTCGACCTGATCGGCCATTAAATGGGCTCCGCGAAACGGCAGAATGCCGCCACTGTCGGCCCCAAATGCCGGCGATGAGGCGATGCTATAGCTCCCAGGCGACCAAGTCGTAAATAATCTATCAAGCAGGAGTTGGTTGGGAGGTGGATCTGGGGGAAGTATGTGCGTCCGATGTGTAGTCACTTGGGCTTGAATCTGGGTTGGCTTGGCTTGGTTCAAATCTGCTCTTGTCACGGAGATCTGTCTCGAGGGCTTGGGGTTGGGGAGCGTAATTGGCGAGCGCGCGCGGGTACACTGAGTGGCTTGTGCGCTGGCCTTGGAGTTGCCAACGAGGCGGGGGAAGGGGAGGGAATAGATTTGGAAAAGATGGGGGGAGTTCGGACGCAGGGGAAAAGCGCGATGGAGGAAGAACGGGGAGGGGAGGGGAATATGCCTGCGCATCGCAGGTTGGATGAGCCCACATGATGCGCGCAGGGAGGTTTTCCTGAAGGGATCTGCAAGAGGATGGCGGGATTGGCAGCAGTAGGTGCTGCTGCTGCTGACGACGATGCCTGCGCTGGTCAGCATGGCGTGGATGAGATGGGATGGATGGCACTGTAACATGATGGGATGTGATGGGATGATGCCCCAGGGGACTTCGAGGGGCAGGAAATTCCGCAACGGTGCAGCAAGGCAGGTCAAGATCAGCATTTGATAGGAGATACAGTCAGGCACAGGATGGGTCTCTGCGCAATGCTGGGTTTGAAACTGTACTCAAAATAATGTTGACATTGGAAAAATCTGCCCAACAACTGGAGCAATTTACCCGATAATAAAGAGACACGTGTATTGTCGCAATTGACATGTCATTTCGCCCAGATTTGGATGCCCAGACTTCAAAACCAACAGCCAAAAGAGTGACAACGAGCCAATTCTGTTGGCTATCCACCATCAAGGTGGGATAATATGACGTGGAGAACACGTGAGATTGGTTGGCACGGCAAAAAGGGCCGTCAGGGAAAGCATTGACGGGCCACGACGACGAAAGTCGACTCCCGCCAAACGACAAACAAAATCCAGCACGAGCTCAGGCGACGATTTCAACACTCGACTCCGCAATTGTGCAAAACACCGCCTCGTGCACGAGCAATTTCAATGACACCAAACAAACGTAAAATGTCATAAAACTCCATCTAAAACAATCCTGATAATGTTACGGTGAAATTAACCCACTCGCAATCCAAGTGATACAGGGAGCCAGCAGACTATCCACCAGACTTATCAGGTGCTGTTCTATTGTGAGCAATTAATTTTCTTCCGGGACTCGGCATGTGCAGTTGCTCCACACACGCCGCCAATGTAACGACTCTACAACGTTTCACCTCACAAACCACCAACGCTTCCCCAAACGAAGCCTCATACCTTGTGCTAGACTGCTGCCAACTCCCTCATGCCAAAGGTGTTAGAAGCTAAGGAGCTAGATAGGTAGCCATGAGCAAAGTCGAAAGGTTTAGCCAGGGGGGAGAGTTACGAGATAAAAGAGAGATGACTAGAAAGAGAGAGGGATACAAAAAAGGGGAGGTTGTCCCCTCTACAGTAGGATCCATCAATATAGCACACCTACCAAGCCTAAACAAATATATATGTAAAATATATAATTTAACACACCCCCTAGGCTTAGTAATCGTAAGCCCACCCAACACGAAACACCCCCAAACCCTTGCACCCCCGTGCCCTTCAGCAGCTGTGGCGTCTAACCCTCGTGCGAAGCGGTGAAACCCCCGGTGGGTGGCAGCAAAGGCATCCCTCTTAGTGCGCAGCGCAGAGCCCCTGTGGGGGGCAGTGTGGCGGGGACAGGGGGTGCAGCAGGGAGGAGTGTCAGTGGAGGAAGATCCTATTGCGCCCCCAGTGCCGCCCAAGATGTTCTGGCAGAAATACGCGAGTGAGGGGGGGGGTTGGGTCGGTGGGGGGGTTGAATGGGCCAAGAGAGATGGTATCTAGGTCTGAATCTGGGGAAAAGGAAAGGACCCCATGGTGCCGCCACTTCTGGCAGAATTATGTGAGGTAGGAGGGTTGGGGGGGGGTGGTTGGATGGGCCCATCAAACGTAGTCTTCATGGCCCTGGCTGGCCCCTCGGCTGGTCGTGTGGATTTTCAAGAGCCATTCTATTTGCTTCATACTCTCTCCCCTTTTTCTCCCCCTCTCCCCTCTCCCCTCTCCCCCTCTCCCTCTCCCTCCTCCCCTCTCCCCTCTCCCCCTCTCCCTCTCCCTCTTCCCCTCTCCTCCTCCCCCTCTCCCTCGCCCTCTCCCTCTCTCCCCCTCCCCCCCTGGCGGTGGATATTCATTATGGCAGGCGGCCTCCTGGTGCTCAACATCTTCACAGCCCTGGCTGGCCCCGATGCCCTCGATGCCCTCCAAGGGGGGGCTGCAGGGGAGGAAGGGGGGGGGGAAGGGGCATGGCGGGGGAGTGTGGGGGGGGTGTAGCCAGCCACTCCGAGGAACTTGCTTTCCCCTTGCACTGCGATAGACAATCGTGCTGGTGGCTGGCAGTTGACTCGTTGTTGTTGTTGTTGTTGTTGTTGTTTTTTTTTTTTTTTTTTTTTTTTTTTTTTTTTTGGCTTTAAGGAGATCCCAGGAGGGAACCAGCCCCCCTTTCCAGTTGACTCGTTTCTGGCAGTGGCAGGCCCAGTTGTGGCAGAGGCGAATTGAGCTGATGTGTTGTGTGGCAGAGGCACATCGAGATGGTGTCAGAGTTGTGTGTTTGGGCTGATGTGGAATAGTGAATGTTGCAAAAGAATTCTTTCGCACCAGACTGAGAAGCAGTTGTGTATGATAAAGCATACTGTGACAACAATCCTGGCGTTGCCCAAATCACCGTAACACAGTATCAAACGCACAGGGTCCTAGATTCGGGAAAGCCACAGTGATCTGTGCAAAGCAGACGACATTTACATGCCCTGCATTGGGTCTTATATATACTGGGTCCTAGATTTGGGAAGCTTAATTTTATGCCCTGCAGCTACACTGGGAAACACATGCCATGCTTCCCCCTTCACACCAGCAAGGTAGACCAGAGTAGGGCAGAATAGAGCAGGGAGGCACAGGGTAGGGCAGTGAAGGGTAGAGCACGGTAGAGTAGTGTGGAGCTGGGTGGAGCATCGTGGAAAGGGTGGAGTATTGTGGAATTGGTGCAGCATTGTGGACTGGGTTTTGATGTGGGTGCTGATATGGGTGGCAATATAGGTTGTGGTACGGGTGATGAAATGGGTGGTGGTATAGGTGGTGGTATGGGTGGTGGTATTGGTGGAGGTATGGGTGGTGGTATGGGTGGTAGTACGGGTGGTGGTATGGGTGGCGGTACGGTGGTGGTATGGGTGGTGGTATGGGTGGTGGTATGGGCTGTGGTATGGGGGTGGTATGGGCGGTGGTATGGGTGGTGGTACGGGTGGTGGTATGGGTGGTTCGAGTGCCAGCAGGGCGCAAAAGGTGAGAAGCCTGGGCCGGTGTGGCCACCAGCCCTAGGGAATGTGGAATACACACCTAACCTGCCCTAACATCAGCATAATGCATCAGAAAACACTACTCGTACTCCTACCCCTAACATCAGCATAATGCATCAGAAAACACTGCTCGTAATCCTACCCCTAACATCAGCATAATGCATCAGAAAACACTACTCCTACTCCTACCCCTAACATCAGCAAGATGCATCAGCAAACACTACTCCTACTCCTACCCCAAACATCAGCAAGAAGCTCACCAGCATCACCAGCTCACCCACTCTCCTGCTCACCTGCTCTCATACCTGCTCACTTGCTCACCTGCTCACCCATCCGTTGCTGCCCTCCCACACGTCGCTGCCCTCCCACGCGCCGATGCCCTCCCACGCGCCGATGCCCTCCCACGCGCCGATGCCCTCCCACGCGCTGCTGCCCTCCCCTCCTGTGCGTCCTTTCCTTACCTGTGGACCTCTCTTGGCCGTTAGGGGGGCCGCCCCTAACGTTCACCCAGGCACCACGCTGAGGTGGGGGTCCGTCGCCCGGGACCTGCTACTACCCCCTACTCCTACCCCTACTCCTACCCCCTACTCCTACCCCCTACTCCTACCCCCTAATCCTACCCTTACTCCTACCCCCTACTCCTACCCCCTACGCCTACCACCTACTCCTAACCCCTACTCCTACCCCTAATCCTAGCCCTACTCCTACCCCCTACTCCTACCCCTACTCCTACCCCCTACTCCTACCCCCTAATCCTACCCCTACTCCTACCCCCTACTCCTACCCCCTACTCCTACCCCTACTCCTACCCCTACTCCTACCCCCTACTCCTACTCCTACCCCTACTCCTACTCCTACTCCTACCCCCTACTCCTACCCCCTACTCCTACCCCCTACTCCTACCCCCTAATCCTACCCCTACTCCTACCCCCTACTCCTACCCCCTACTCCTACCCCTACTCCTACCCCTACTCCTACCCCCTACTCCTACCCCCTACTACTACTCCTACTCCTACTCCTACTCCTGCCCCAAACATCAGCAAGAAGCTCACCAGCATCACCAGCTCACCCACTCTCCTGCTCACCTGCTGACCTGCTCTCACACCTGCCCACCTGCTCACCTACTCACCCATCCGTTGCTGCTCTCCCACGCGCCGCTAATCCTACCCCTACTCCTACCCCATACTCCTACCCCCTACTCCTACCCCCTACTCCTACCCCCTACTCCTACCCCCTACTCCTACCCCCTACTCCTACCCTCTACTCCTACCCCTACTCCTACCCCCTACTCCTACTCCTACCCTCATCCCCTACTCCTGCTCCTACCCCCTACTCCTACCCCTACTCCTACCCCCTACTCCAACTCCTGCTCCTACCCCCTACTACTTCTCCTACTCCCTACTCCTACCCCCTACTCCTACTCCTACCCCTACTCCTACTCCTACTCCTACCCCCTACTCCTACCCCCTACTCCTACCCCCTACTCCTACCCCTACTCCTACCCCCTACTCCTACCCCCTACTACTACTCCTACTCCTACTCCTACTCCTGCCCCAAACATCAGCAAGAAGCTCACCAGCATCACCAGCTCACCCACTCTCCTGCTCACCTGCTGACCTGCTCTCACACCTGCCCACCTGCTCACCTACTCACCCATCCGTTGCTGCCCTCCCACGCGCCGCTAATCCTACCCCCTACTCCTACCCCATACTCCTACCCCCTACTCCTACCCCCTACTCCTACCCCCTACTCCTACCCTCTACTCCTACCCCTACTCCTACCCCCTACTCCTACTCCTACCCTCATCCCCTACTCCTGCTCCTACCCCCTACTCCTACCCCTACTCCTACCCCCTACTCCAACTCCTGCTCCTACCCCCTACTACTTCTCCTACTCCCTACTCCTACCCCCTACTCCTACTCCTACCCCTACTCCTACTCCTACTCCTACCCCCTACTCCCCACCCAAAAACCTGCAGCTCACACCTGAAGCCTAAGTCGCTGCCGTCCCAAAAGGGGCTCCTCCACTGCACGCCTCTGCTGCACTCCTCTGCTGCACTCCTCTGCTGCACGCCACGCCAGTTTCCCCAGGCTCCTCCCCTCAACTGCAGCCGCCAACCGCCTCTCCATCTCCCATCCCTATGCCTCCTTCCCCCCTCCCTCTGCCTCCTTCCCCCCTCCCTCTGCCTCCATCCCCCCTCCCTATGCCTCCTTCCCCCCTCCCTCTGCCTCCTTCCCCCCTCCCTCTGCCTCCTTCCCCCCTCCCTCTGCCTCCTTCCCCCCTCCCTCTGCCTCCTTCCGCCCTCCCTCTGCCTCCTTCCCCCCTCCCTCTGCCTCCTTCCGCCCTCCCTCTGCCTCCTTCCCCCCTCCCTCTGCCTCCTTCCGCCCTCCCTCTGCCTCCTTCCCCCCTCCCTCAGCCTCCTTCCGCCCTCCCTCTGCCTCCTTCCCTCCTCCCTCTGCCTCCTTCCGCCCTCCCTCTGCCTCCTTCCCCCCTCCCTCTGCCTCCTTCCGGCCTCCCTCTACCTCCTTCCCCCCTCCCTCTGCCTCCTTCCGGCCTCCCTCTGCCTCCTTCCGCCCTCCCTCTGCCTCCTTCCGCCCTCCCTCTGCCTCCTTCCGCCCCCCTCTGCTGCACCTGAGGCGCCAGCTCCCCTCCCTCTGCCACACCTGAGGATTGGTGCGCCTCCTTCCGCCCTCTCTCTCTCCACCAGCCGCCTTCCGCCACCGCCTCGGGTGCACCACCGCCTCTGATGGAGCGCCCTGAAGCGCACGGCACACAGCATGGTGTTTATAACGGCTGTTCAGCACGGTGCAGGACAGTGAGATGCAATCACAACAAGCCAGCAAAAGCAAGAGGCAACGAGGTTGCTTGGGGCTTACCATCTCGCTTGGCGCTTCTCCTTCCACCAGCGCCTGCTGCGGTGCCAGCGCCTCCACGGCACACAGATCTTGCAGCCCAGCAGCACAGCAGCACAGCAGCACAGAGCACCAACAGCACAGAGTGCCAGCGCTCCAAGGGAACTCCTTCGCTGACTCTCCTCTCACAGAGCAGCCAACTCCTCTGCTGCACCCAACCCTTCCCGCCTCAGAGGGCAGTCTCCCTGGCTGCTGAGGGCGCGGGAAGGGTGGTGCGCCACAGCCAAGGCACCCTTCCGCATCCCCTTCCCCATCCCCTTCCCCATCCCCTGCTCCGCTGCCTCCTGCCCCCCTCACCGGACTCCTCTGCTGCACCCAACCTGCTCCTCTGCTGCTGAGGGCACGGAAACGGGAAGGGGATGGCGGAGTACCCTAAGGCAGCTTCTGCTTCCAGCTCCTTCTGCTTCAAGGGCGGAGTTCCCAAGGGGGTAGGGCGGCGTCCCCAAGGGGAGGCGGAGTCCTCACGGGGAGGGTGGAGTCCCCAAGGGGAGGGCGGAGTCCCCAAGGGGGTAGGGTGGCGTCCTGAAGGGTAGGCGGGATACTCAAGGGGAGGGCGGAGTCCCCAAGGGGAGGGCGGAGCCCCCAAGGGGAGGGCGGAACCCTCAAGGGGAGGGCGGATCTGAGATGAGAAGGGGGGGCAAGGGAGAGGAGAGGAGTTAGAAGCGGACACAGCTGAAACAAGAAACAAGAAGAAAATGAAACAACAAGAAACAGAAGCAGCCGAAAACGAGCGGGGAAACCCAACTGCACGCACCTTCTCCTCTGCTCCTCCCCTCTGCTCCTCTCCTCTGCTGCTCTCCTCTGCTGCTCTCCTCTGCTTCTAACCTCTGCTGCTCTCCTCTGCTGCAGGCGCCCCTCGCCTCTCCTCGCTCCCACAGAGAGTTGCAGCAAGAGCATCAAAGCACTCCCCAGACCGTGCGTCATCCCACCACTCTCCTCCCATGCAGCAGGGCTTGCGGCTCCCATCCTTGCAGCTGCTCCCATGCTTGCAAATGCTATGCGTCAATAAGCAGTCTGCAGTGAGGCAATGGGAACTTCCTCTGCCGTGAGGCAAGGGAAGAGGTGCGGAGCGGGATGCTCCCTCTGCTCCTGCCGCCCATGCCGTGAGCCAAGGGGAGTGGCATGCGCCCTCTGCTGCCGCTGCTGTTGCTACTTAGGGTGAAAGGAAGAGGAGGGCAGGGTCCCCCTGCTCCCACAGAGAGCTGCAGCAAGAGCATCAGGGCTCTTTCCAGGCCGTGCGTCAACCCACCGCCCTTCCGAGGCCGTGCGGGAGAAAAAGCCGGCAGCTAAATTAACAGGTGCAGAACCCATCGGGATCAGCTCAGCAAGTGCGGAGGAAACCTCAGCAACGAGCTCTTCGTCACTATCCTTATGGCTGGACTTGGACCCGAATGGAGGCAGTGCAAGTCCCTTCTTCGTTCCCAAGGGAACATCTCAGAAACTTCTCTTTGCGCTACTCTAATGACAGAGCAGCAGGACTTGGACCTGTACAACGCAAAAGGAGGCAAAGCCAAGAGTGGGTTAAGGTTCTATACAGGTGGATCAAGTCAAGGGGAGCAGACAAGAGGTGCATTAAATCAATGGGAGCCGACAAGAAAGCAGGAAAGGGCTTCTGCAAGTTTTACAAACGAGCAGGTCATAATATTGAAGAGTGTCAGAAACTGAACAATAGGAATCGGGAGAAGTCGGGTGAAGTCGCCCCTGTCAAGACTATCTCGCCGCCTTCAGCTTCTTCAACTCAACCTGCAAAAGGAAAGGCAATTATTAGTTGCATGATTGTACAACACATGTCTAATAGTATACGCTACTGGAGTCGACGAGACAATGACAGCGACAGTGAGATGGAAGAAGTAGCAACCAACCTACATCCACGTCTTCGTCCTCGTTATGAAACTCTAGAACCAGCAGTCGTTAATGAAGAAGAACCAGAGCAGTCGAACGGGTTTCCTCAACGGTTGAACGTGCAGCCGTACGCCCACATCGCCAAGCGTACGTATCCCGAGCATGTTAGCACTTGGTTTCTTGACAGCTGCTGCGGTCACCACGTGGCGTCTTCAAATCGCTATCTCCTCAACTGGCGAGACCTGCCAAATGGAGAAAAATACAACATCACAGTGACCAACAATCAAGTTATTGAAGCCACAAGAATTGGAGATGTGATACTAGAGTCCGACGACACCGAAGTTTCACTTCACTTTAGTGACTCGTCTGCAACTTATTATCACAAGCGCAACTGATGGAAAATGGCATTTGTTTCATCAACACCACCAACATGATGCTCACGGAGTTGTACCTGGATAAAAACAATTTAGTCGGCATCGCAAAAATTAAAGACGACGTTTCTGTTTTACCGTTTTCACCAGTGAAGGCCTCTGGTGACAGTGAGAAGAACGTCTCACTTGCTCCTTGGCATCATCACTTGGAAACAGATCTTCAACGCCAATACCATCGTGGTCTCAATGTCTTCTGGGTCAGGCCTCAGCCTTCTCGCACCAACTCCCTCGACGAACTTGCTGCAGAGCCAACAGAAGCAGCATCAGCAGCAGCAGAAATAGTTCAAAGCACATGGGCATCTGAGGATGGCAATTGGGGTTACGATAATCAATCATCGACATCTGCTATAGTCAAAGAACCGATGGAGGTTGAACACACATGAGGCAAGAAGGAGTTAATCGTACCTGATGCTTGGCGCGTCGCCGACATCTCGGCATACCTTGGGTTGAAACTGCAGAAGAAGCCGTATTCATCCAACCTTTCGGCAACGGCCGCTGCGTCAACTCTGTGCCAACGATTCATCTTTCGCCGACCTTCTTCCTTCACTCCGACTTGTACCTACGTTCAAAGGGACATAGGACTACAGCAGAAATTTGGCACGAGCGGTTAGGTCATCCCTCGCAAGAAGCTCTCAACAACTCAATTAAAGCCTCGGTTTTCGACAAGGACGCACTCCTTCTAGCCAACGGCCAAGACCTTCGACCTAGCAGTCGTCAACTACCCTGCACCATCTACCCCGGAGCTCACCTAAGTCACTCTCCGTTCTTGTCACCCTTTTCGAGTGCTACGAAGTACTCACATATAGACGTCGTCTTCAGCGACATACTCTTCATGCAGCAGGAAGCAGAAGATATCAGCGGCAACGACTCCCGCTATATACTGCAATTATCTTCATCGACGGTGCTTCTCGATATGTCTGGCACAAGAATGTCTCTCACAAGTCTGTAGCTCTCGACGTCTTCAAACTATGGCTGAAAATTGCCGAGCGGCAGAGCGACATCAAGCCGAAAGAAATCCAGACAGACAACGCGGATGAGTACACTAGCGAGCAGTTTGTTGAATTTATGGTGCGGAAAGGGATACTCAGGCACAAGACTTTGCCTTATGCCCATCAGCAGAATGGAGTAGCTGAGAGAACTAACAGAACTAGCAAGAGAAAATGCGCGTGCTGCTGCAGTAGTCTAGTTTGACAGCAGACTTTTGGCCGTTTGCAATGGCGCAAGCTGTCCGCCTACACAACTGCTTGTCTTCAACAGCTCTCCCTCAGTTCAGCTTGCCACACATCATGTGGACAAAACACCCTGCCGACACTCGACTATTACGAGTTTGGGGCTGCATGGTCCAATACAGACCTCCGAGCGCAACTGTGGGCAGATTTGTTGAGCGGGCGCGATGGGGAATACACCTCGGTGTACCTAAAGATTATGGATAATTATGGATTACAAAACCCGAAAGGTTTTGTATGCCCGAGACTGCATCTTATACAACTTTTTTCTCAATGACTTCGAACGCGACAAGGAATGCCAGCAGCGGGATCCTAATCGCTACAGTGTCGAATGGAGTTTCGCCACCCCTCAAGACGAAGCACATGCAACCGAAGAATATTATCCACCCGACAGTACAGCAGCAGGACCCTCTACAGTTCCGCAGCAGTCTACGCCAGCAACCAAACAATTGTTCGACTCCTATATTTCTTCCACACGTGCCAACAACACCGAAACACCGCTCTTCGTTCCCCTCTCGGACCTGTTGCGTCCTGCCATAACACAGGCTGCCTATAATTATGAGGAACACCTGCGCCGACAGAAAGCTGACGTAGCATCACATGACGGTGCCTGCCATCTGCCATCCGAAATTGACGATGATGACGACGTCGAAGTTTGCCAACCTCCTTCTCGTGGTGACAATCGGCTCTTCAGATCCTCGGACTTGCTGTCACAGTTCAGCAACCAACAACCGGGATCGAGCCGAAAAAAGTCAAGCATGCCCTCTCCGGCTCTGATGCTGACAAATGGCAAACAGCTATGGATGCAGAGGTAGCAGCTCTTGAGAAGCGGAAAACGTAGAAACTCGTTCCACGCGAAGCAACACGCGGCAATAAAATTCTTTCGGGCATGTGGGTCTTTCGCATAAAGACAAACGCAGCAGGCGAACCAGACAGATTTAAGGGGAGATGGGTCGTTCGAGGTTTCGAACAAACCCACGTCATCGATTACACTTACGGCGACGGACTCCACATCTGCAAGTTACTTAAATCACTCTACGGCATCAAACAGGCTCCTCGCCTGTGGCAGCAACATCTTCACAAAGTGCTGATTTCACTTGACTTCATGCAGCTGCCCCACGATCCTAGAATGTACAAACTCAATTTTTGAGGGCATTACATTCTTCTAGTCGCCTACGTGGACGACTTACTATACACCGACTCGTGCAATAGTCTTTTGGCGCGCATGGATAAAAGAATCCAAAAGATTCTTGAAATGACTATTTATCAAGACGTCACCAAATTTCTTGGGTTAAACATCGACTGCGGCCCCGATGCCATCTACCTTTCTGCAAGCAAGTACGCAGAAACACATGCGAAAAAAGTTCGCAATCGCTCATATCGGCCTCACCACTCCATTTCGTCACATTTTGCCCGATCAACACCTGATACTACCCCACTTACCTCCTCCGAGCATCAGCTTTACCAACAGCAGCTCGAGTGTCTTCTATTTGCAGCTGTTACATACCGCCCAGATCTGGCCTACATCACGAGTCAGCTCGCACAGTATCTGCGTCGACTTGAAGGGTAGAATATGGCCGATCTTCATCGAGCCCTCCAATATTTCATTTCTACTCGTACAATCGGTCTCAGCTACACGACAAATACTGCAACAAATTTTCGATTGACTGGATACGTTGATGTGGATCACGTTGCTAACCCCGACAACAGGCGTTCACGTACAGGGTTCATCTTCAAACTTGAACCGGGTGGTGCCATTTCTTGGAAATCAACGAAACTGGAAGTCATCACACTTTCGTCAGCCGAAGCAGAATTCGTCGTAGCAAGCTCTGCAGCTAGCGGATGACTCTATCTTCAAGAGTTACTTCAAGAGGCGAAAATTGCAACGACACGTAACTTCAAGTTACTCTGCGACATCCAGAGGGCAATCAAGATTGCTTTCAAGCCTGACTTCGTCAATAGGACAAAACACATTGCCCTCCGTTACTTCTTCGTCAAGGACGAAATCGACAAAGGGAAGGTCATTATGAAATACTGCCCTACAGAAGAAATGGCAGCTGATTTTCTGACGAAGAAACTCCCATACGCCAAGTTTCAGTACGGCTCCAACCTGGTTGGAATCTGCAAACGCGTCGACACTTACCCAAAGACATACACTCAGGATTAAAGGGGAGTGTTGAAGTATACTCGATAGAGGTTGCTCATGTATTCCTGATATTACACTTAGAGTGTACTAGTAGCGCGATACCTCATATGGAAGGGCGCGTGATGCCGTCACCAATAGCGAGTCAACGCGTGAATAGTAGGTTCGCACGTGTAGTCACCCGAAGGGTCACGCCACTCTCAGTCACACGAACAGTCACTAGTCATGTCACGCGAATAGTCACGATACAGTAAGAACAAGTATATTCCTAATAGGTACTTCTAGACGATAAATATGCCTGTATTACTCATTATTATTATCCTTGTCATTTCAGACATTTCCAATACAATGTGTAAAGTCTTCTGCTGACTTCTATTCGTGGTTCCACCAAATCTAGATCCTGGCTACCCTAAACACGTGGTTCACTTCTACAACTTGATAGCAATTGATGGATATGGCATCTGTGCCTGACGCACGTGTGGGACATCTGTGCAAATGATGTGTACTGGACTGGAGTCTCTGCCTGACACCAGTATAGCACCGTTGCTAGTGATGTGTAAAGTGCATGTTGGTTTGCTCTATCACGAGACTAGGTAGCTAGGAAGCCATGAAATGGCGTGAGGGTCTAGCTAGGAGAAAGTTGACGAGAGAAGGATACAAGGAGGGGGGTTGTACCCTCTACAATAGATTTAAGTAACACCTATTAAGCCTACCAATTCTATAACATATATATAATTTAACACACCCCCTAGGCTTGGTAGTAGAATAACCCACACCCCCTAACCTAGCACCCCCATTCCCAGCAGCAGCCACAAGTACTCCGGCATGGCCAATCCCCGGGCCCGTGCGATGGCAACGGCGGCAGCGACGCTAGTGATGACAGCGGCGGTGGCGGCGGCGACGTGCGGCGGCAATAGGCCAGCGGCGACAGCAGCGGCGGCAGCGGCTTTGACGTCAGAGGCGACTGCAGCGGCCCCCGCCCTCTCGGCGGCGTGGCCAAGCTCCGCGACGATGGGGAAGAGCCTCACGAATCAGGCGTCGGCTGTGGTGAGGAGGAGGGGACGCAGGGGAAGAGGGGGGGGGGGGACGGGGCGTGGTCCAGCATCACGCCCGTGGCTGGCGTGCGGGCGTCAAGTCGAGCGGCGCCACAGGAGTTGCGCCGCCGGCTGCAGCCCGACGACGCCGCCACGGCATCATTACGATGCCGCCACAGTGCGGCGTCGATGCCACGGCGGGACGTCGATGCTGCGACGGCAGCACGACGGCGCCGTCACGCCGCCGCGGCTGGACGTCGACGACGACGCCATGTCTGGACGTCGACGCCACGACAGCGCGATGCCACGACAGCGCATCGAGACGGCCGCGGCACGTCGACGACGCCACAGCAGCGCAAGAGGGAGAGAAGGAGTGCGTGGCAGAAGCGTGGGGAGCAGGCCCGGGAAGGGCAACCTGCTCTGATACCATATCACGAGACTAGGTTGCTAGGAAGCCATGAAATGGCGTGAGGGTTTAGCTAGGAGAAAGTTGACGAGAGAAAAGAAATCGAGAATAGAAGAGAGGGGGATACAAGGAGAGAGGTTGTACCCTCTACAGTAGGTTTCAGTAACACCTACCAAGCCTACCAATTATATAACATACATATAATTTAGCATGCTCTCCACCATCTAGCAAGGAGGGAGGCGACAATCATAAATACCCCAAGTTCGGATAGCACATACAAACAGTTCCGGTGTTCCAAGTGTTCGTCCAAACATCCATACAGTGAATAACGTACTACTGGTAGAACCAGCCAGCCATGCCTACTTGTGCTTCATTGCTCTTCTGGCAAGAGTCTCCTCTCCAGCCAGCTGCTGCAAGCGCCCATGACAAGTTGCCACCATTGAGACACCAGAGCAAGCAGCAAACGACTACCCGGTTCAGCATGGCTTATCAGCTCGCACCATCACCACAACCTGTTGCTGGAACATCAGCAAACCAGGCGACATCAGCACCACCATTCCTCGCCCTCTCACTGATCACCTTCCTGCAGAAGTCCACCCCGCAGTGCTCTAGAAACTGCTGGACCGTGCGCTCTGACCCCACACCCATGCACACATGCATGCAATCAGCCGCATCGGCACCGGCAGAAACAGCAGCAGCAGCAGGAGGAGCAGCAGGAGCAGCAGCAGGAGGAGCAACAGCAAGAGCAGAAGTAGAGGTAGAGGAGTACGTCTCAGATTCTCGGAGCACCCTAACAGTTCCCTGTTCCCTGCCATGCACATCAGTCCAAGGCACAGCATGCCACTCCAGCCTCTCCCCCCCACGCACTGCCACTACAGCCTCTGCTCTCTCCCTCCCACCACACCCACACTGCTGCTGCCCACCCTCTAGCTTCTCCTTGCTGCCGCCACACGTGTTTCCCCCCACATCTGCAAATCCCTGTCCCAAAAAGGTATGCGAATCGTTTTCTGCAACACCACTGTGTCTACCTTGGCTTGAGTGAGTCACATAGCCCTTGCCTGCTGCTCGTCTGTTCATTGCCCCAGCTGGGCTACTGTGTGGGCAAAGCAGCAGCCGCACCCGTGCCTGTGCTGCTGCCTTGGCGGCTGCTTTGAGCGACGATGGTGGTGGTGATTCTCCTCCTCCTGCTGCTGCTGCTGCTTGAGTTGCTTGAATAGCCGGTGCTGATTGCTCTCCGGAATCCTCACAACATACATCGCTCGCCCTTGAGTTCCTATCAGCTGTTGCTCTTGCTCTTGCTGTTGCAGCTTTACCGGCTGTGGGGGCTGGTGAAGTGAGTGTACGGGAGAGCGTTTCGGGAAGTGCAGGGGAAACAACGGTAGGCAGCGAGGGGCGGTAGGCGCGGGACCACAGGTGGAAGGCGAGGGGCCGCGACGGAGCGTAGAAGTCGTAGCCGTGTGTGAAGAGGCGCAGAGCCATGGAGAGCTCCTCGCCGAAGAAGAGGAAGGAGAGAGAAGGGTCGTAGGGCACCTGGCAGGGCAGCAGCACACCAGGCATCATACGTGTGGAGGAAATGGGGCACCCACGGTGTTGCAAACACGCAGGGGTGAGCGAAGGAGAGAGTCCAGGGGAGACGACAGTATGAGGGACGGGGCAGAAGGGGGTGGACCACTGGTGGAAGTCATAGCCTGTGTGGCGAGGCGCAGAGCCATGGAGAGCTCCTCGCTGAAGAAGAGGAAGGAGAGATAAGGGTCGTAGGGCACCTGGCAGGGCAGGGAAAGCCCAGCACATCATACAGGTGGGATGTTGTAAACAGGCAGGGGTGAGCGAAGGAGAGAGAAGGGTCATATGGCACCTGGACAGGCAGGGGCGCACGGGGCCGGGGCGTGCAGGGTGAAAAACACAGGGTGAGTGAAACACACAGGGTGTGCAAAAGAGGGGGAGGGGGGGGGGAGGGAGGGTGGCAGCGAGCTAGATGTCAGGACACGAATGGTGGTATAGAGCTATGGAGGTATGGCGGCATGGGAGGGGAGCATGGCGTGCGTGATGCATACCTCATGAATGACCGATGAGCGGGAGAAGGAGAGCCCTGCTGCCCAGAACAAAGACGGCACCGGAGAACCCTCATCCTCATCCACCACTCTCCCCTGGACCACCCCTCTCTCCTTACTCTGTGCCTCTACCTGACCCTTTCCCCCCACTAGTTCCTTAACTTCCGCCATCTCTCTTCTGTCTCCCTCTCTTGACCCGCCCTCCCACTCCTCTCGGCCTCCTCCCGCCATCCCCCCTCCCCCCTCCTCCACGTCCCTCAGTTCCCCACTCCGGCTCCTCTGCTCCCCACCTCTCCACCCTCCCCCCCTCCGCAGCCTCCTTCCTTTTATCCTAAGCATGCCATCACTCTCACTAAAGTGGCTGGCGCACAGCAGAATGCAGGCAGCGGAGGCGTCTATTGGGGGGATGACGGCTGCAGGGCCAAGGCCGAGGTACCCAGGGGGGTAGGAGGAAAGGATGGGCTTGGGGGAGAGAAGGGAGGCACGGGCGTGGAGGGAGAGGAGGTGGACGTCCCATGAGGACAAGAAGCGCATGTGCGAGTCGATCTGTGGAGAGAAGGGGTAGCGGAGGAGGGGGTGGGGGAGGGGAAAGGGAAGAGGGTGGAGAGAAGGGGTGGGGAGGGAGGTAGGAGGAAGGGGGGATTTCAGTGTGGGGATTGAATGTTGGAGTGAGAGAGAGGTGGTGAGGAGCCTTCTCAAACGGGAAGGGAAGGAAAAGGGGTGCTCGTTTTAACAAGGCAGGAAACACATGCAGGAGGAATGCCCATAAGCGCGCTTGATTGACTGCAGTTGTGTTAGTTTCTTGAGAATTCTCAACTACCAGTAGTACCTGCAGGTAGAAAGCCTCGCCTCGCCACATCTGCTGCGCTATGGCTCTGGCCCAGCACGGCCCACGGGCCATAGACGCCGGTAGCACCACCTGAGAATGGGAGGCCCGAGGGTGGCAGGTGAGGGGAGGGGAGGAGGAGGGGGGGACTGAGGATCTGGTTTCGATACTGCACAGAACAGACGGACTAGCAGGCAGGATGGGAGCTTGGGAGAGATGGGAGATGGGAGAATGGGCCGTGAAGATCAAAGGTGTGGCTGCAGCTGCATACGTGTGTTGAGTATGGTTGAAATTGTCAAAGAAAAAGCGCGCAAGCGTGCACACAGCTGCGCACGCAACTGTGCTACACTTCCGTCCGCACCTGTCGTATCTGTGGGTGGTAGCAGGTCGGCAGGGAGCAGAGCAGCGCACTTGTGGTGGCTGCACGGTCGTCCTCCGAGATCTAAGCTGAGAGGCACACAGCAAAGAGTGGCGAAACGAGCGGGGGAGAGTGGTGGAGAGTGGTGAAGAGTGGTGAAGCGGCACAGCGGATATGGCAACAACAGGCACCCGTGAGGTGAAAACGGGCCAAAGAACCCGACTTGCCTTGCCACTGATGCATGCTGCTAGCGTCTCACCTGCCACACTATGCCCACAGTCACTCTCTCCCACACTGCAGCGTTTTCCAGGAGGCTCTTCACCGTCCACACACACTCCGAGTCCCGGTAGCTCGCGATCGACACAAATATGCGCTCCTGCCCCCGCTCCTCCCCCCACTCCCCGTCCCCTCCTGCCCCGCTTCTGACTTCCTCAGCAGCGGTATTGCTGCCGGGTGATGCTGCACTTGCACCACCCTTGGGTGCCAGTGATGCAACGTGGCTGCATGCTGCCACTCCTGCTGTTACAGCAGCTGCAGTATGCATACTTCCAGAATAATTAGCAGCGCGAGCATCCGCACCATAAGCCCCAGAACAGCCAGATGACTTGCCCGTCCCAGCTGTCCCTTCGCCTCGCCCCGCCTCTCTCCCCCCATCCTTCCCTGACCCCCCTCGCTCCTCCATCTCCCCCCTTGTCTGCAACTCCTGCACACCTTGCACCGCCCCTGCACTCTCCCCTGGCTGCGGGGTGCAGCAGAACCAGGCAGTGAGGGAGTAGCGGTGGGCGTGGGCGGGCATCACCTCGTGAGCCATGTGGCTGACAAACAGCACCAGCCGGTCAGCCATTGGCGCTATGTCCACTCTCCGCTCCTCTTCTTGCTCCTCCTCCTCCTCCTCCTCCTCCTCCTCCTCCTCCTGCTCCTCCTCCACAGGGAGAGTGCGTGTTAGATACAGCCGCAGGTTGCCGCCCATGGAGGCGGGGTCCCAGGCAGGGTTGAGGTAGTAGAGGGCAGTCACCCGGCGGTGCGGGCTGGAAGGGGAGCGGTCAGTGTGCCGCGCATAGCGCGCACCGTTGGCCTGAGTCAGAGGGAGGGAGAGAGGCGGAGGGGAGAAGGGAGGGAGAGAGGCGGAGGAGGGAAGGCAGGGAGAGAGGATGGGAGAAGGAGGAACGTGCTGTGCTCATGCTTCGCAGCCTCTTGGATCGCATGGCTCGTGTTAGCGTGCAAGGTAGGCCTTTGAGAATGTTAAAAAACCTATCACTGTTAGCGTGCAAGGTAGGGAGGGCTGGAGGGGGAGCGGTCCGTGTGCCGTGCATAGCGCACACCGTTGGACTGTAAGGGGGAGGGAAGGGGGAGGGGGTGAGGTATATTGGACTAGGAAAAGCAGAAAACGTGCGGGGAGGGAGGAGTGGGAGGCGGATGGAAGCTGCAGAAAGGTGTGAGGGTGTGAGGGTGTGAGGGTGTGAGGGTGTGAGGTTGTGAGGGATGGGTGGGAACCTACAGGGTAGCATGCCAGCTGGCAGGAGAACTTTCCAGAGACGTCCAAGGAGGAGGGCGATGGAGGTAGAGGGGAAGCAGACTGGGGAGACGCAGCTGCATCCCTGATAGCAGCAGCACAACCAGTAGCAGTGTCAACATCAGCAGCAGCAGCAGGATCAGCAGCAGCACTTCTCCCCACGGATTCCAGCAGCGGTCGCAGGGCAGCAAGGCGAGAGACGATGCGGTGCAGGTGAGGGTGAGAGTCCGGGGAGAATCGCTCCCTAGGCAGGGACGTCAGCCACACCAGCAAATCGCCCCGCACACTCGCATCCACCACCTGCGCCACTCCAGCTAGTGCCGCCCCCCCCCCCCCTCTCCTCCTGCTCCTCCTGCTCGTGTTGCTCCTGTTGCTGATGTTGCTCCTGTTGCGGCTGTTGCTGCTGCTGCTGCACTCCCGCCTCCGATGCGTGCTGGTCGCATGTGGTGAGACGACTTCAGGTGTTCTGCCTCTGCCCTCGCTGCCATCGCCTGTGTGTGGGAGGATACGAGAGAGAAAGTGCTTTAAGTCGCCTCCTCCTAGGACGACTATTTACACGCTTCGTCTGCCCCTGCTGTTGCTGCTGCCTGTGGATGGGGGAGGGTGCGGGAGGGTGGGAGAGGGTGGGAAAGGTTGGGGGAGGGTGGGAGATGGAAGGATGGTGTGGTTAAGGGGGGGGAGGGGAAGGGAAGCGAGGAGAGCAACTTCTAGAGCTTGCTGCGGCTAGGAACCTCCTACTTCTACGCAAGCAGGGGATGGGTGAAAAGTGCTCCTCTTACCCCCTCTTGTTGTCTCACCTCTGCCGTCCCCATGAAGCCATCCAGCACAGCATAGCCACGTGTCATCATCTCCGCCACTGCCGCCCTCAATCGTCCCCCCTCCTCCTCCCCCCCTCCTGCTCATACGCCGCCCCACCTCCACTAAAGGGGTCGCCTATATTTTCCCCACAGCCCAAATCTCCCCTGCTCCCCCCACTCCCCGCGCTCCCCGCGCTCCCCGCGCTTCCCCCAATCTCCCCAATCCCCCCACTTCCCCCACTTCCCCCACTTCCCCCGCTTCCCCCGTTTCCCCCGCTTCCCCCGCTTCCCCCGCTTTCCCCGTTTTCCCCGGTCCCCCCACTCCTCCCACCACATGGACCGCCAGGAGGGGCGTTGCTAGTCGCAGCAGGAGGAATGGTGTGACAGACGGTGCTGGCGGTGGTTGGAAGGAGGAGCGGCGACGCCTGCTGGTTGGCGTTACCCTGCCGGTGCTGCTGGGGAGCCGGCAGGGAAGGAGGAGGAGGGGCGAGGAGCGAGAGAATGCGGAGCTGGACCGCGTTGGGAAGGTCGCACACCCTCATGCGCATCTCGCCGCCGCCGCCGCTTCTGCTCACCGAATCGCCGACTGCTCCTGCTGCGCTGACGGCGCTGACTGCGCTGACGGCGTTGACGGCGTTGACTGCGCTGACTGCGCTGACGGCGTTGACGGCGTTGACTGCGCTGACTGCGCGTTCCGCGTTGACGGGCCTTGCTCCGCCGGTTGCGCCGGCTGCTCCAGTTGCGCTGGTTGCTCCGGCTGCCAGGGCAGGAGCGGAGGACCCGCCGTCTGGCGACGCGGTGGACGGGGCTGCTGAAGTGACCGTTGGTGCCGGCGACGCGGCTGCTTCTTCCGCGTCTGGCGGCCGTGCGTCGCGCTGGTGGGGGGATACTCGCTCCATCGGGGCTCTCGAGAGACCTGATCAACGGGACGAGACGAAACAAGGAGAAGCGGCGGACGCGGAGACTTGCGAATTTGATGGCTGACAAATGTGACTGCTGGTCCGCACTGGTGCGCACTGGTGCGCAAGGCACTGTTACTGCTATATTCTAAAGCTGGGGAGTAGTGTGGTGTGCTGAGGGCGTGTCACTAAAGTACGTGCTCTGTTCAGCACCGAGTTCAGTTACCAATTTTAGGTGTGTAACCATAAAAAACACGCCCGAATAGGACCGCCCAGCTCACACCCGAAATTAGCGGAGAGCAGCGCACGTTTCCAGGTACCTCCGCACGACAAAAAAATACCTCACAATAATCCAATTCGTCAACCAATACCAGCACCACCTGTAACGAAATTGTTACGCGAAACTTTGCAGCCTCGCACGTTGCTAGCGAACAACCTACCCCCGCTGCGCCGACTGGCCCTCTTTTTGTTACACGCGCCTGCTGCGCTGGCTTCGCATGGCGGGACCCCGTTACCCGCCTCTATGTCTGTGCTGGTCTTGGTGCTGTCCTTCCAAACCGCACCCTTCATTTCGGACCTGTTCCCAAAGCGGGATCGGTTTCAAAATAGATTCACATTGCGTACCGTCAAACGGCTCCGCGTGTCAAAAACGGGTTCGATTTTTGGGGACACGCCCTGACTTCTGCTGGTTTGATAGATGCAGATGCCCACCCACCAAGCAGTGTTGGATTTCGCGTTTTTGCACATGCTGTCTGTTCGCCTCGCCTCTTGACGATTTGTTACAAAATGTCGCGAAATCTCCTCCCCCTCCCCAACCCATCCGCCCCCCCCTCCCCTCCCCCCGCCACCCTCAAAATCTCAGTGCCAACATTATTCACCCCTACCACGCCTCTGAAAATCTCGTGCATTTCAAGGCTCTGGTAAGTGAGGTCAAGTAGGAAGCTCTCCGCGCTCCCCGCCCCCCCCGCAATGCTCGCTCGTTCCGCCACGCTGCCCTCTCTCCGCAGCAGCACCGGTTTCGTCTCCGCGGCTCGCCGCGCGTCCCATTCCCCCGCTGCCGTTCCCGCTCGCCGGCCCTCACCTCCGTATCTCCCGCCTTCCTGTATTCTCCCCGCTGCGCGCTCCTCCCTCCGCGACGGCGTGAGAGAGACCGCGCGGCCTCGCCCTGCGACGTCTGCGACGCCTGTGACGCCTGCGATCGCATCGCCCGCCGCCGTCCGCCTGTTTCGTCGCGCAGCGTCGCAGGGCGTCCGTGCGATGGCGTCTGGTGACGAATCTGCCGGGCTGGTGGCGACGCACGGCGAGGACAGCTGCATCTTCTGCAAGGTGCGCGTCTCACAGCGCCTCTTGCGGCGCATCACACGGCAATGCCAGTCGGGGTTGCGTGTGCGCTGCACTGACAAGAAAGGGCGAAAGGAGAGGGGGTAAAAGCGAGGGTGGGCAGGGGAGGGAGGGGGGTAATACGGTATGCACTCACAGTCGCAGCGTCACGAGTGTCCACAATAGGGCGGGTGGGAGGGGGGGAGGGGGGGAGGGGGGAGTGTTGGTTCGGCAAGCAGCAAGAGGTAAGCACATCAGTCGGCGTGCGCCTAATGTGGCACATTTGATTTGAAATGCCACAGCCCGTGAGATGCCCTCTATGGCTGTCACATGCCTCCTTCCACTCCTGTCGTGACATTTCCACGTTGTGTTGTGGTGTGGTGTGGTGTGGTGTGGTGTGAGCTGTTGTGGCACCATGACCCCATCTCACACCCCACCATCCCGTGATCACGCCACGCCAACATGACCTGGCTTGTTCCTGAATCCTGCCAATGATGGTGGTGGTCATAATATCATCATGATGATGTCACGGCGATGCCACATTGCCACATGGCCGCCTGGTTCTCTGATGCTGGCAAAGACAGAGCATGCCCTCGTTATGACCCGCATTGCCCTCGTCGTTATCCCATCCCAACAGCATGCCCCCATCGGATTCCTCATCCCATTACTATTCCCCCATCCCTCTACTACCCCCCTCCCCCCCCCCCCAACCTTCTCTCCCCCATCAGATCCGCGACGGCAAGATCCCGTCGCACAAGGTGTTGGAGACGGAGCACGCCCTGGCCATCCTGGACGCCTTCCCCATGGCGCGCGGCCACACGCTCATCATCCCCAAGAAGCACATATCCCACTCCCCCCCCTCCTCCCCCTCCTCCTCCCCCTCCTCCTCCCCCTCCCCCCGCTCCTCCGCCCCCTCCTCCTCTTGCGACCGACCCCCCTTCCTAATCTCTCTTGTCTGCCGTGCCTCTTGCTCCCTCCGCTCCCTGCTCTCCTGCCTGCCGTGCCCCTCCCATTCTCTGCCTGTTTCACTGCTGACTGTCCGACTGCTGCTGCTGCTGCTACCCCTCCTTATTCTACTGCATTTCACTGTGTTCGCCTTAACACCTCTTTCCCAACTCTCTCTTCCCCCCACTCATACCCCCCACTTCCTCCTTCTGCTCTTCCACATACCTGTTTCTTTCCCTCCCTGCTGCTTTCACTTCCCCCCCCCCTCCGTCTCTCGCCTCTCACTTAATCCCCTCATAATCCCCTATTTATTACCTCGTTAACCCCTCCACTATGCCTTTATGGAGGACATGCCGGAGGAGGAGAGCACGCAGCTGCTGAAGCTTCTGCCAGCGGTGTCCAAGGCAGTGCGCCAGGCCACAGGGGCAGAAGGAGTCAACATCTTCCAGGTACGCTTCTTGTTCTGGCGCCCCTCATATCAATCCACCATCTTCCGGAATCACAATGCAATTCCTATCAATTCATATCGATTCATATCGATTCGTATCGATTCATATCAATCGCATCAATTCATTTCGATTCGTTCCGATTCATGTCAATTCACTAACTTCCGGAATCAATTCATATCAATGCACAAGGAAGGAGTCAACATCTTCCGGGTGGAAGGCTATGCGCTGCCCACAGTGTCTTCTCGGACGCCTCTCAAAATGCAGCTCTTCTTTTCTATGCTGGAAGGTGTTCCACCTGCATGTGGCATGTGCACGTGAGACAGATCGGGTTCTTTCTATCCCATGCCTCATGCATCCCTCTCTGTACACCCCCATGTGCGCCCTCCCATCACCCTCCCCACATGGCACTTGGCACTTGGCGCCTGGCAGAACAACGGGGGGCCTGCAGGCCAGTTGGTGTTCCATGTGCATGTGCACGTGCTGCCTCGCACTGAAGCCGACGGTACGTGCTTGCATCCCCTTTGGTTACTCGGTGCAAGCAAGCCCCTCCCCTCCCCTCCCCTCCCCTCCCCCCCCTCTCCAATCGCTGTCCTCCTGTTGTTAAGAGGCGATGCACATCGCTCCCTCCCCGCCCCCTCTCCCACCCCTCTCCCACCCATCTCCCACCCCTAATGCATACATGCAGGGCTGCTAGCGTTCGGCAAGAGTGGCCCCATGATAGCAGCAGAGGAGGCGAAGGAGGTCAAGGAGGCCATTGCCGCTGCTCTCCCATCGAACCTGTGACGGGTGACGGCCCCGCCACAGTGCTAGCTAGCTACCAATGAACTGTCCTCCTCCTGACCGCCGCTGAAGAATGCACTAGATGCTCCTTTGGTTCCTACCTACCAAGTGCTGAAGACAGCTTGGGGAGGAGGGGGAGGGGGAGGAACGCCTGCGATTACTGTGGTCGTGCGCGCTGTGATTCTGTGAAAGAATCCAGGACGGGATATTGGTAATTTGGTAAGCATACCGTTGCTCAGCTCAGCCCAACTACTGTACCTGAGGTCTTGCACGCGTGGTTGCTGCATTCTACCAGCAGCTTAGAATGGGCAAGCTTGACAGAGGCAAGTGACTACTGAGGCATGCCTCATAATGGACCAATGCTAGTACTTCACTATTCAACCAACTCAGCAGCTGACCACACAGCAGCTTCTATGTTGTATTCGCCCCAGCATGCCAGGCTTCCTGGCTGGCAGCGACAACCATGCTAGGCAACCAACCCGACCCGACCTGACCCGACCATCAAGTTTCAAGCCGGACCCATCCTCCTGCCGTGCCAAATATTTACAAAACCAGATTACCGAGCTACACTACCGGTACACCGCTGGTACACTAAGGGCACACTACAGGTGCACTACTGGCAGGTCATTCGCTCCAAGACCGTTTCTATTCTACTCTCACTTGTTCCCACAGCAGATTCAGATCAGATGAACTTGTCAAGAGAGCGGGAGTTGCATGAGCCGCCCGCACCACCAGACCCAGCCTTGAGCTGACGCATCGCCGAAGCCGCTGTCACTCGTCCCTTCGATGCCCTCACTCCTCCTCTCCCTCCATCACCATCCCCCCCATCACCACCCCCCCCTTCATTCCTCCCTCTACTTCCCCCTACCCCCCCACCAGGGCCCAGTCTCGAAGCAGCACCTCCCGTGCCCATGCCGCCTCCGATGCGGTCCCAGGAGCGTGCATGCTCGTTCCAGCTCCCCCCTTTTGGAGTGAGCATCTCTCTCTGGGCCAACCGCTCGCGAGCGCCGCCGCCACTACCGCCGCTGCTGCCTGTGGCTGGCCTGCCACCGTGGCCACTACTCCTTAAGTCTGGTTCGTCAGAAGCAGCAGCACGTGTAGCGGATGCCAGGGCGACTGGCGGGGAGCACACCTTCTGATGCTGAGAGCACGCCTGCACAGGCTGGCACTGATACGTCGCCATCATGCTCTGGTAGAGGTCTGACAGGTCCGACAGGTCTGGAGCCTGGGTGGTGATGGGGCCTCTGATCTTCGGATCACAGCGGGAGGCGGATGTAGAGGGAGAAAGGGCAACAGAGAAGCCGCTGGAACTTGCTCTTGCTGTTGGTGCTAGACTTGTGCTGCTGCAAGGACTGCCCACGCTGCTGCTCCGTGCCATTCTGCTTAGTGTGCTGGTGGCCACGCTGGATGATCGCTGTAGCTGTGGCAAGCCCGGCTGCTTCTGCAGAGACTGATGGGACTGATGGTTCTGCTGGTACTGCTCACCCCTGCCGTTCGCCTGCTGCGTACCTCTACCATTCCTCGCACCACCGATGTCCTTTGCAGCTGGATTGTCACATACAGCATAACCAGCAGCAGCAGCAGCCATAGCAGCAGAGCCACCCCCACCAGCAGAAGCTGCCGAGGCAGTCGGTGCAATGCTGGGAGCAGGGCTCAAGCCTGTGCTATAGCAGCTTCGGCCCAAGCCTCTCTCACCAGACCTACTGCCACCACCACTGCCAGCACCACGGCCAGCACCACGGCTTCTTCCCTGGGGGCACTGATCCTGCCTTCCACAGCTGCTGGTGCTTCTACTGGTCGGGAACACATGGGCACTACGTGGCCTCGTGCTGTGCAGGTCGGCACTGTGAGTGCGAGACACAGGATCAGCAGCTCCCCTCTCCATCACTCTACGCAGCAGCACGGAGTGATAGACTCCACCGTGCGCCCCTGTGTCAAGTTGTTTGGATGGTACGCTTGACCGATTCTCGTCCACCTTGCTCCCCCGTTCCAGCTCCCTTCCCCCCTCTTTGTGCTCCCCTTCCTCTTCTTCCTCTTCCTCTGTCGTTTCCTCCTCCTCCTCTTCTTCCTCTTCTTCCTCTTCTTCCTGTTCTTCCTCCTCTTCGTTCTCCTCATCCTCATCTGTCTCCCCTCCAAGCACCACCCACTCTGCAACCCCCTCTCCGATCCTCGTCCTCCTCTCCCCTCCGCTTTCCATTTCCACAACCAACACGTCCACCTCCACCCCACTACCCTTCACCCCTACCCTCCCTTTCTCCAACAATCCACCCACTTCCCCCTCCTCCTCCTCCCACCGCCCTTCCCCCTCGCTCACACCCCCCTGGCTGCTGCCACCGTCACTGAGCAGCCTCAGCAGATCATACTCCCTCGCGTGTTTATACTCCACCTCCCTCGCCCTCCCCTTCCTGCCTCTACTCCCTTCCTTGCTGCGTTTGCTCTCCCCTGGCCCCGCTCCCACCCTTAAACAACCCGACCCACCACCACCCGTGTTATCCCAACCTCGTAGACCATCCATGCTGGCTGCTTGACTCGTGCGTGCACCACCATATTGCCATGCCATCAAGTCAGAACCAGCCATGCCATATTCCGTGCCATCTTCCTCTGCCCCCCCATCCGTGCCATCCTCCTCCTCCTCCTCACCTGCCACTGCATCCCTCTCATCATCATCGAGAACTAGCATCTCCACAGCCACAGCACCTGCCATCCTTGAGGAACCTACTCCCCCTTCACCATCAGTATCATCGGTATCATCGGTATCATCTGTATCATCTGTATCATCTGTATCATCTGCATCGTCGGTATCGTCGGTATCATTGGCACCATCTGCACCATCAGCACCATCATCTGCATCCAAGGATTGTGCAGCGCCCCATGGCAACTCACCATAAGCATGCTCGTCCTCAACCTCTTGCACTCCCTCATCTTCCACAATATTCCCATCCTCCTCCACTTCCTCCTCCTCTTCCTGCTCCTCTTCCTCCTCTTCCTCCTCCTCCTCTTCCTCCTCCTCCTCTTCATCCTCCTCCTCTTCCTCCTCCTCAGCATCCTTTTCTTCCGCACGAATACTCCCCTCCCCTATATCCTCCTGATGTTCTAAGCACAAATAATCTGAGCCGTTCAAACCTTCATCAGTCCCCTCCCTCTCTTGTCCGCCCAATGGCACGCCCCACGGCAAGAACTGCCTCGCCTGACCCTCACTCCCCTCACTCCCCTCCTCCCCCTCCTCAACCTCCTCCTCCTCATCCTCCTCTTGCTCCTGCTCTTCCCCCGGCACATCCCAGCATGTCTCCTCCTGAACCCCACGCCCCGTCCACTGCTCCCCTGTGCCTGTCCACGTCTTGCTGCTCCTCGCCTCACAGTGGGGCAAAGGAAGCACATATTCCTCTGCTCCCCCGTCCTCGTTATAGTCACTCACAATCGCATCGCCATTGCACCACACGTCCTGCGTCTCAAGCGCCTCACGTCCCTCACCACCACCCTGCCACGCCTCACCACTGCTCTTCCTCCTCCCACTACTCCTCCCACCACTCCTCCCGCCACCTTCCGTCCCTCCACCTCCGTCCTCCACACCCTCACACCCTAACCGTGCCCACTCTCTCTCCCCTACCCTCGCCCATGCCTCCTCACCCCCTTTCCATTCTGCTTCCCCTTCTCCCTGCCAGATCTCGTCCCTCTCCCCACCCTCCTCCCCTAGCCAATGCCCCAAATTCGCCCCTCTTCCTTCCCCCCCTAGACCTCCGTCCCCCCCCCCCTCCCCTCCAGCCCCCTGCTGCAGGGCGGAAGCATGATTGGGTGAATCGGGGTACCTCCACTCCCCCGCGCCGTCGCCCCCCCCATGTTCCACCATAGTACCATAACTGGGCCCATCACTGCACCTGGGTTCCCCTCCCCAATCCCTCCCACAACCATGCCCTTCGAAACCCACCCTCTCTGCCACTGCTGGCACCTCCATTTGAGTATCTCTGTGCCTGTTGAAGGGACCCGCAAAGTGATCCTCGGAACGGTCCTCCAACCGCCCCCCTGACCAGCCCTCCCTTCCATCCGTATTCCTCTCCTCAACCCACACACTCATTGGCTCGGACCCCGTCCTCCTGTGCCTCCCACCCGCCCCCACTTCCCCTCCACCTTCCCCCCTCTCTTTCCTTCTGCTACCCCCTTCCCAGCCCGGATTGCTCACGCTCCTAGACCCCACACCCCACTCCTCCCCTCTTCCCATCCACCTGCTCCCTTTGCCATCTCTTGTCTCGGATCCTCCGTTTTTCTTTGCCCCCTTCTTCTCCTTGCTGCTCCTCCCGCCACCGGCCTTCTTCCCATCTCTCCTCCCGTGCTTTAGCCCATCTGTATCTGGGTTCACGGAGCCCACAGCGCCAACAGGGTTCGCGTTTCGGTGCAGGAAATTCTGAGTGCGGCTGAAATACTCCTCCAAAGCCTGCTGCTTACGCGCTGCTGCTAGCTGCTGCACCTGCCCCTCGTCTTCCCCTCTTTCTACGCTCCACCCCTCTCCTTGCTGCTCCTGCTGCTCCTGCTGCTCCTGATTCACGCTCCCTGGCCGCTGCCGGAGGTTGGCACTGCCGAACCTGCAGCTCACGTCTGGAAGCACGTTCGGGACGAACACTACTTGGGATGGGGGGCGTGGTGGTGAGACAACCGGCTGGGAGCGAGCAGGTGCCGTTTTGGACCTTTCTCTCCTCCCGATCACACTCTCTTGCGTACCTGCACCAACTCCTGCTGCTGCTGAGCTTCCTGCTCCTCCTCCTCCTTTTCCTGCGCCTCCTGCTGCTGCCGAAGCTGCTGCTGCTGCTGGTGGTGAGTGTGATGGCAAGCGGTTGGGGGCGATGACACATCCACGGACGATGGGGTCTCCTCTCACAGTGGAGAGGGAGGAACAAGCCATAGCAGCAGCAGCAGAATCAGCAGCAGAAGCAGCAGCAGCAGCAGCAGGAGGAGAGGCCGCATGAGAAAAGGACATGGACCCACGGCTACTACTGCTGGCCAGACCTCCTCGCCCTCCCCCTCCCACTGCCCATGCGCCTCCCTCTCCCCCTTCCCATCTAAGCTCCTGCCGTAAGACTACCGCCTGGCGGGGAATCAGCTCAGGGGAGCGGGGCGGGGAGGAGGGCAATGCCGAGGATGGCCGACGCGCATTTGCCCTCCGCATGCTGCTGCTGATGCTGCTGCGTCTGTTGATGCTGATGCTGCTGTCTAGGTCCCTGCGGCTATCCCTATCGCCCTCCTTTGACCTACGGATGCTGCTCTCACTGGGGCTTCGAGCCATCATCAGCCGAGCCATGCTAACCCTGCTGCTGCTGCTGCTGCTGCTGCCGCCAGCACCACTACCACCAAGACTGCCGCTGCCATTGCCGATACCGCTGCCGCTGCTGGTGCTGCTGCTGCGGTTGGTCCGGAAACCAAGGCTGCTGGCGAAGCTGCTGCCAGCACCAACACCCCCAGCACTGAAGCTGGCTTTACCAATGAACCTCCTTCTTGAAGCGCTGTTGCTGCTGCTGCTGCTCCCTGCACCTGCACTGGCACCCACACGCTCTTCCAGCCATCGAGCCGAGTCCTCTCCTCCCCACTGCACATGCCGAGGCTCACTGGAAGAAGCTGCCTTCACCCCATTGCTGCCAGCGCCAGCAGCAGCAGCACCAGCAGCGACAGCCGCCGTGGCAGAGGCAGTATCAGCTACCCCTCCACCCATCACCTCCCTCATACTGCCCCCGCTTCCCGCCCCACGGCTGTGCTTTCCTCTGACTATATAAGTCTCCCCCTCCTCCTTCTCCTCCTCACATTCTCTCCTTTGGCCCCCTTCAAAGCTGCCCCTACTGCCCCAGCCCCCAGCGTCATCCAGCCCGGCGCCTGCTGGTGCGTCAGGCTCAGCAGCGCTTAAACCAGGGCTGCCATGAGCCGCTGTGCGTGCTTCCATGGTGCGGTGTGCGCTCTGCACCAGCCCAGTGACATCCCACGAGACAGACCGCCTGTGCCTGTGCCCCACTCCCTGCCCCGGCCCCGGCCCCTGCCCCTGCTGCTGCTGGTGATGCCGCCCTTGGTAGTTCTGCAAACACTGCTGCCGCAACTGCTGCTGGGGTGGCAGGTGCTGGCTCCTAGGGGGCCTCCCCCCCCCAAGTGCTCTGCTGGGCGAGTATGGAGAGCACACAAACAGAGCAGCATCACTTGCCATTGTTCTCTCCCTTGCTCCATCGTTTGCTGTCGCCCTCGCTCCCGCACCCACTCCCTCCCCCCCCCTCTCCCTCCCTCTGCTCCCACTCTTTCTCACAGACCACGTCACAGCCCGACGCACAGGTGGTCCCTCCTCTTCCTCCTCCCCTGCTCCTCCCTTCACCTCTCCCTCACCCATCATCCCATCCCCTCGGCCCCCCCTCGCCCCCCTCTCCTTACACGTCCTGCCTCTCCGCATAACCCCATTCTCTGCCTCCCCTACCGTCCCTCCACCGCTACCACCACCATCATACCCCTCCTCTCCTCCTGCTCCTCCTCCTCCACTGCCCTCCCCGCACATAGTATCCCCTCCAGAATCCCCCCCTCTCTGTTTCCCCAGCCGCAGCACTGAGAGCAGATTCGGCATACCAAGGGAGATCGGGGGAGAGAGGGGGAGAGAGAAGGGGGGGGAGAGAGGGGGGGAGAGGTGGGAGGAAGAGAGGGGAGAGAGAGACCGGGCTTTCTTGGGAGAAGCAGAGGGCGACTGAGTGGAGGTCAGTGCGCTAAACCGACCTCCGGGTATTCCTAGCACGGACATAATCCCTCTGCTGCCGCCCCCGCTTCCTCCCCTACTGCTGCGATCGCCACCACTGCTGGAACCAGCTGCACCGATACTGCCTCCCTCACCGCTCCCACGTTTCCCCTCCTCCTCCTCCTCCTCTGCCTCCGCCGCTATTTCTATGTCTTCAGCATGTGCTGTAGCTAAAGCTGCTGCCGCCAAACCTGCAACGTCTGTCACCGCGTCTGCTGCTCCTGTGACGCTCCTTCTTCGCACACCAGCAGGGGGAGCAAAGATGAACGAACCCCCAGCACCAGCAGCACCCCCAGCACCAGCGGCGGCGGCGGCAGATTTTCCTGAGCCTAAAGAGCCGCCTAGAGAGAGCGATCTCCGGTGCCGAGACGGATACGCACGGGGGGGTTGCCCAGGCGGCGGTCGCGGAACCACAGCGTGCGCATAGCCTACTGCTTTCGACCCACAATCCTGCTGCTGCTGCTGCTGCTGCTGCGAGGACCGAGGCGGAAGAGGGACTGACATGGCAAGCGGATCGCGGGAGACGCGATTGGAGGGGCGGTGGTCGGATGGAAAGCGGTCGGAAGGAGAGCGGTCGGGTGGAGAGCGGTCGCTTTCGGTGCCAGTGGACGGGGTTGCATGGCCAACGCTGGAGCTCCGTCGGAAAGCAGGCGGCCTCGAAACCATCTGCGGTTGCTGCGACAACCTGTCGTTCAACACCGTCGTCGCCATCGCAGTCACCGTTGCCACCGTAGTCGTCGCCATTGTCGTTCCCACCGCCGTCGCCGTAGCCATCGTCGTCGTCGTAATCTGATTGCGACCATGCTCGTCGCTGCTTCGACTAGCGTCCGTCCCAATAGAGCCTGAACTGTGCGTTCGCCCGTTTCTCTCCTCCGCCGCCATGTCTACCATTGTGCCGTCCGGCAATCTCCGTTCTACGTGCTCCGCCAATCCCGCCATTCCGACGTGTAGGGTGCATGCGGGCCTCTCCTGTCTCGCCACGTGGCCGCCTGTGTGGATAACGACGGGAGGATGACGGTTACCGTGAACGTCAGACGGAGATAGTTGGACGCTGACTGAGCTTCTGCCGCGGAGATTCCCCATCGGAAAGGCCGGCGTTAACAGTGACTTTGCACGATGGCGCGACGGCGCAGTTGAGCCGCGAGAGAGCCGCGAGAGGTGGAGTTAGAGGTGTCGAGTCGCAGAACATGTGGCTACGCTGCCTTTTGAGTCGACTCAAAAGATGGCGCGATGGCGCGATGGCGCAGTTGAGCCGCGAGAGGTCGAGTAAGTTGAGGTGTCGAGTCGCAGAGCATGTGGCTACGCTGCCGTTAAATGGCAATGAAGCTTCCTTTTCCTTGAGATTAAGTTCGACTTTTTTCGCCTCATGCCATGGATCCTCGCTTCTTTAGCGCTCCGTACTTCCTCGCCTGTTGTTCTTCTCGCGTCCTGGCGGTCCGTTCGGGCTAACTCCAGTGTGCCAACGAGTGAGTGAGACTGGCTAACAACGCTTCTCTCCCTTCCCTACTACTCGCTTGTTCGAAATGACGAGCAGCGCAGCGCCCTGGAACCATTTCTACGCAACAACGTATGGCGCAGCAGGCTCGTCTCGCCTGACTCGACTCCAGTCCAGTCACCCATCATCCCAACCAGCAGACTCTGCGTGGAGTGGTGTGTGGTGCTGCTGGTGGCTGGTTGGTGGTAGTGCGCGCGTGCCTGCAAGAGCAGGAGAAGCAGCACGGCGTACTGTGTGTACCAGGAGGGGAGGGGGATGAGGGGAGAGCTGAGGGCACTGGACCGCTTCTGCGAGGGCAGGCCGCAGGGCAGTGCTAGTACACCTATCCCGCGCCATTTTCTCACCCTGCATCTTCTCGAGCCGTGCTACGTTTGCGCAAACGACGAGCTACAAAGTCGCATACGACAAGGCCCAGTTGCTCAATCGACAAGCTACAGTGGAATGAGATAATTGCGCAGGACAGGTGTATGAGACTGTAACCAGCAAAGAAGATTTTGGCTTGCCTGACATTGATTTCGCACATAGTGGCATAATTGAGGCCGCTCCATGGAACGGTTGGCTGGGCGGCTGGCTTCGTTACACGCACAAAAACAGCCGTCTCTGGCCAATTTCTCGACTCGAGCATTCAATGCCAAGGGGAGGGGAGGGGGGTTTTGGGGAAGGGAATTCATACACGAGGCGAATAACATGGGCCCCGCTAACACAGGAGGTTACTCCACTAAACACGAACCCCAACTTTTTCTTGGAGTTTTACCGCAGCGCCACACCCCCGCAACACAGAGGTGACTCCGCCCAGTGGCATTTTCACACGAACGCAAACTCCACGACACTACCGCCCGAAAAGACACACCTCAACCCGTTTTCCCCGCGCGCGCGATATTTACTGTTACGATTCTCAGTCAGGTGGTTTGCTGCGCCCGAAAAATAAAGCGACACTCAAATCTGTGTGTCAAAGTCGAATAGCCAAGTGTATAAGTTCCAGCTCCCTCTTGAATTGAGGTGGCACCATACAATATAAAAATATGCAAGCATAAATACACACACGTTTTGAATCCCTCATGATGATTCCACCAAAGCTTCTTTGATTAAACTACATCTAAAAAATCAACCTAATCCAATTATGAATTTTCTTGATTATGGCAAGAGCATTCCAATTGGTCTTAATCCATTTGAAAGAAGGTTATAATATGTATTAATGTTCCTTAAGATGATTATTAATATATATTGAATATAATTATATAGCTATTTTATAAATTTGCATGCCTCAAACCATAATGATGTAGTTATTTTATATATAATTCTTTTCTATGGCACATTATCTGATTTTTATGGTGTTACTTTTGTTTAGCTGCAGATATGTGAGATATTTGTTCAAATTATATATGTTATAATTTAATATAGGCTTGGTAGGTTGTTACTGAACCTTTCTGTAGGGGGTACAAACCCCTCCTTGTACTCCCCTCTCTTCCTAATCCAATCTCTTCTCTCTCGACACTCTCGTCCAGCTCCTAGCTAAACAAATATTCGTGCCACTTTCATGGCTGCCTTTTGTTCCTGCCTAGTATCCTAGCCTAGTTTCTAGTTCCTAACAATATTCGTCACCTTCCCTACAGCACAGGTTTGGTTACACCAATGTGTTCTCTCAATGCTCATGCATTGCAGTTTTAAACAACTCCCTTGACAGTTGGTGCGTGATTTCCGTTTTTCCTGTCGACCGTCTAGGTGACAAAGTGGGTAGGGAATAACAGCAGTAGACATCGTGCGCGCGGGAAAAACGGGATGAAACTGGTATTTTTGGGCGGTAGTGTCGTCGAGTTTGCATTCGTATGAACATGACACGGGGCAGAGTCACTTCCCGTGTTACCAGAGTGTGGCGCTGCTATAAAAGGGAAATGATAAAAAAGGGTCCTCGCTTTGCCAGATCCGGCAAAGCGAGCAAAAAAGGTCCGGCAATTTTCTGCTCCAGGGACCTCGCCTCTGACCCTGAAATACACCTTTTTCTTCTTTTAGTACTTTAAACATTTATGGGACATGTGCGGTACCATTCAACATTTCTCAACGGAAAAAAAAAAAAAAAAAAAAAAAAAAAAAAACTAAAACCCATTGGGGACGGAATTCCGTTCCGGATGGCATCAATCCTAAGCACGCGGCCCTTTTGCGAGTTTAGGGTTGATGCCACCCCGAGTCGCATGCGGTGCCCCTATGGGTTTTAGTTTTTTTTTTTGTGCCCTAATACAGTACATTGAATTCGTATGAAGGTCCCACCACAGGGTTACGACACGAAGCGCCCCCATGAACCTGCAAAATTGTGACCTTGTGATGTGTGCGTATTGTATGACGAATGAGGTGTAGTACAGGCTCGGAGACGAGGTCTCGGGGCAAAAAGCTGCCGGACCTTTTTTGCTTACGCCTCTAGCGAAGGGAGGACCCTTTTTTATCATTTCCCGCTGTAAAACTCCAAGAAAAGGTTGGGATTCGTGTTAGCGGAGAAACTTCTTGTATTAGCGGGGCCCATGCTAGTCACTTCTCATATGAATTCCCTTTGGGGAAGGGACGTACTGTCGCGCTACTATATCAGACACCACTGAAAGCAGATATACGTAGGTACATTTTCGAAGAGCTCTTTGACTGGGCAATGCAGAAGAGATTTTTGCCCAGATGGGATGTCACAGATGTTGAAAGAGGATTACCACCACTGCACACGCTATAGTTCCGATTTCAAGGATGGATGAAGCACACCTAGTCCACGGTAATTTTACACCGTGAAATTGGGCTGCAGCATAATTTTTGTTTCCACCCTGGCCATTTCGGAGTGCGTAGACAGTACTCCCTTGTTTCTACGGCCTAAGCGCGGCAGACTTCCCGCGGGAAAAAACTTTGAGCACTTTTAGCGCAATCTCCAGGAAAGTTGGAGATTGCACTTATCGATTACACCTAGAGCACACCG